ATAACCATCAACCAGTCATTTAAACTCTCAAAGCCTCAGTTTCCTTGTTGGTGAAATGGGATCATAACAGTATCTCTCCATGGGGGTATTATTAGGAATAAAGAAGATAAAACATTCAAGCTCTTAACAGGCTTGCCTGGCACAAATCAACTTTCAAAATTGTCAGTTACTTTTTACCAGCAGAGCCCCTTTCCTCTCCACCGTCCCATCCCCGCTGCAGGTCAGTGGTTGTCGGGGTAACCTGGGGTGTGATGGAGCTGCAGCCCATCAGCTCTGTGCTGTCTGCACTCAGTGAAATCATGGTTTCCAAGGAAGAAAAGCCTTGAATCTGACTCGTTAGCTTCAATTCAAGTTCTAATGGTTTTGGGAGGAAGCCCACGTTGGCAGACAGCATTTCTTGTTTTGTTCTTTTTTGTCCCCGTGGGGCAAAGCTTACTCTCACTCAGTCATCTGGATTAACTGGGGAAGAATTTGCCAAGAAAGTAGCCTCTCCAGAGCCCAGACATGGAAGCTGCTATGTGATCAGGACTCCTGGGCAACTTTGCTTCCTTCTTTTTCCTGTGCAGGAAAATTTAAATTAAACAAATCCGAGCTGATAATAGACAAGTCTGGCTTCTCCCCGACAGCTGACACGCAGGCGACCTGGTGGCACCGGAGGCTCTGGTAGATGCTGGGCCACCCCAGCTCAGGCTGATTCCGCCCCAGTGGCAGCCGGCAGGGAAAGGACCAGATGAGCGTGTGGATTCCTTGGGCGCCTGCTGCCTCCTGCTTAACCGTAAGCCCCCAGTTCAGCACAGTGGTCCTTCCCATCAGAGCACCACTTCCGTTAGCACAAACACGTGCACGCTGATCCAGCTCTTCTCTCTCTTATTTATTTGAAACACTTTGGGAAGCCTTCTACTTCTGCTCCTCAGAATCCCTCCTTTCATGGTCAAGTCCTTGCCACTGTCACCTCCCCCCAGACCGCGCCAGCACCTGGAGCTTCTCACACTTCCCAGAACTCCTCCACCTTTTTCTCTTGCCTTGGTCTTTGCCTCATGCTCCTCTCTCTCTCTCTCTCTCTCCCCCTTCCTCCCTCCACCCTGCCTTTCACTTCTAATTGTGGTAAGATACACATGACACACAACTGACCATCTTAGCTATTGTTAACCGCAGGACAGTTTGGTGGCACTAAGCCCATCCACCACCACCCATATCTGGAACTCTTGCATCTTATAAAATGGAAACTCTATCCCCATTAGACAACTCTCTACTCCCCCCTCTTCCCCCAGCCCCTGGCAACCACCATCTGACTCTCTGTCTTTGTGAATCTGACTCCTCTCAGTCCCTCATGTAAGTGTAGTTGTACAGTGTCTGGCTGATTTCACTCACCTTAATGTCCTCAAGGTACATCCATGCTGTAGCAGCTCTTCCTTTTCTAAAAGTTCCCTTTCAATTGGCTAAATCCTATTCAACTTTCAGGCCTGGGTATGAATGCCTTTCCTCCAGGAAGCCCTTGCCTACTTGGGCCCCCCACACTGATGTTCCCACAATGCTTTGTCAGGGAGGTAGTCAAGGGGTAAAGACTGGAGACCACCCTCTGCTTCCCTAAGTGTGGACTCCTTTGGGTCACAGACTCCTTTCTATTCCCACTGTGTCCCACACAGAGCAGTGCTCAACAAATCGTGAAGCATGAATGTGTGAACAAACTCGCTGGAAGTATCCACTGACAATTTTCAGTAAAAATCTCGAGACCAAGGCTGAATGTTCTTGACCTATCAGGGACAGGGGATACACTCACCTACCCTTTGCTGGAGCACCGTTTGTATCTGTGGTGCTATTCTCCGTCCATTTACTAGATTCCATGGCTTACGTCAATACCCCCTCCACGTCTCTGAGAGCCCAAAGGTACCCATTCCCTCTCTGCTCCATGCACAGCCACTGAGTCATCCAGTCGCCTCCCTGGTGCTGTGTCTCTGGAGAGGATTTCCCAGTCTGCCTCTCCCAGCCTCACTTCACCCTACACAGCCTGGGAGGCATCTCCTCTTGATCACTTGGCCACCCCTTTCCGTATACGTTAACTCCAGCCAATGTGTGCTTCACCAAGTTAACACTAGTGCCATCACTCGGGCCCACATTTGTAGGAGGATGCTTGATCCCACGATAATCTGCCCATTGCCAAAGCTTCTATGTCTGGAGCATTTTGAAATTGCACCTTCCTTTCTATGCTCACACCCAAGCCCCACTCTGAGCAGTGGCACCATGTGTCTGCCTTACCACTGAACACTGGTTTGACTTTGGAAAAACTCCTAAACCACAGTTTCCTTATCTGTAAGTGTGGATACTATACAGCACATCTCTCTGATGTTGTGAGAACCAAACAAAATAATTTACTGATTCCCAACTAAATGTCAGAGGTGGCCCCGGGTGGAAGATCATCAACATTGTTTGGTGTTGAACAAGGTGTGTGCTGTTGGAGAAAGCTGAGCCCCACTGAGAGAATGTAGGTGAGGTATCTGTAAAACCAACATGGGTAAGGCCCATGACAGGGTCTTCTCCCACCTCCTTGCCACCCATGTTCTCTCCTTCTTGTCCTCGATGCTATAGCCAAGTTGTCCAGAGGAAGCATCAGTTTGATTTGTAGGGGAATCCTTGCTGCTCAAGGGCTCACATGTGACAGACTCCCTCCTAACTGAACTGATGGATTGACTGACTGACTCTGTAAATATCCTTCCAGATGCCCACAGCCTCCAACGGTCACATCTGGTAGATGGCACGTCTGCTGTCAATGGTTGAGGGCTGAGTTGTACCCTTAACAAGGACCTGCTGTGTTTGTTCCCAAACTGGTTTAAGCCATGGTACATTTTACTGTGATTATACATTTATTTCAATGGAATGAAAATTGATGAAATTATGCCAAAAAACCTTGTAAAAACTGAGATGAATTCTTCGGAAAGACTAGATGAAGGGTGATGATATTGAACTGAGGATGGATGGGACAACTTTTAAAGCCTGGGGGAAAATTCTGTCTAGGAGGCCATTGTGGTCATAATGTTTTGCAAATAACTCCAGGTTCTTGCTCTACTTTAAATTTTTTTTTAATGTTTTATTTATTTCTAGGAGAGAGAGAGAGAGAGAGAGCATGAGCAGGGGAGGGTCAGAGAGAGAGAGTCACAGACTCTGAAACAGGCTCCAGGCTCTGAGCTGGCAGTCAGCACAGAGCCCGACACGGGGCTCAAACCCACGAACCGCGAGATCATGACCTGAGCGAAAAGTCAGACGCTTAACCGACTAAGCCACCCGGGCACCCCCTCTCTACTTTTAAAAAAGGCAAAAACTGAAAGTCATATGTAATGAATTTATGGAAGACTATGCTGAACTCATTGCTTAGTTGAAGAAAGAGCCTTGGTCCAACACCCAAAGATTCGGGAATGGATGTACATTTTACTGTTGCAAGTTGAAATAAAACATTTACTATATGTATGTTGGTTCCCTGCCTTAAAAAACATCTATTTTTAAGTAGCCCAGCAACGACAGGTGTGGATCCAGTAGGATGAGAGTATTTTCCCTGGTTGCCTTCCTTGTTGAGACCCTCTAGGCAGCCCCATTCTAGGCTCTTTTCTTCACTGTTCACAGCACCCCATTTATGTTCCATTCTTGAGGCCGTTCAGCAGAAGGAGGTGGAAAATCAGTGCTGTGCTCAGAGCCAACTTTCACAATGCCCTACTTGGAGTGGGCTGAGTGAGTGTTGGCGGCATTTTACTGCAACTGCTTCCTGAAGCTTGTTTGTGCTCTTTGGAAGACTTGCTCCACCTCACACCCATGGCAGTCTCTTGTAATGGGCTGCAAGCTATCCCTCAAAACTCAGATGTTGGAGCCCTAATCCTTGGTGTGATGGTATTTGAAGATGGGGTCTTTGGGAGGTAATTAGGGTTTATGATGTCATAGACTTGGTGTCTTTATAAGAAGAGTAAGAGAGGGGCACCTGGGTGGCTCAGTCAATTGAGCTTCTGACTTTGGCTCAGGTCATGATCTTGAGGTTCATGAGTTCGAGCCCCATATCAGGTTCTGTGCTGACAGCTCAGAGCCTGGAGCCTACTTTGGAATCTGTGTATCCTTCTCTCTCTCCTCTCCCCCTTTGTGCTCTGACTCTGTCTCTGTCTCTCTTTCAAAATTAAATAAACATTAAAAAAAAAGAAGAGGAAGAGAGATTGTTCTTGTTTCGTCCCATGAAGACACGGTGAGAAGGCAGCACCTGCAAGCCAGGAAGAAGGCCCTCACCTGGAACTGAATTGTCCATAACCTTGATCTAGGACTTCCACCCTCCAGAGCTACAAGAATAAATGTCTGTGGCTTAAGCCACCCAGTCTTATATTTTATTACAGCAGCCTGAGCAGACTAGTACTCCAAAGATAGGAAACTGAAACCCAAGCAGGGTCTGTGAAGGTGAATAAAGAATGGCACTGATGTAAGCAGAAGTGTGTGGGACCTCCTGGAAAAGTCCATAACAGTTGCTGATCTGGCTGGGAGGCACCTTCCTTTTGTCCTGGACTTCTGTTCTCCATACCTCTGCTTCTTTACACTAGCTGGAAGGTGGGAGGCGCTGGCCGCTATAAGGTTATAGAGAAGACAGAAACCAGAGCTAAGATAGTGGGTAGAAGTATGAAGAAGGGGCCTGGACTCCTGATGACTTAAAGCCACTGCACCAAGGAACTGGGTAAGTCAGGATGGTGTCATCACTCACACAGCCTCATGGCCTAGATCTAAAACCCATGATGGAGGGTAAACACTTACGGGGCTGCTTTCAGGCCTTTTGGTGACTAGGACCCAAGAAAGTTGGCTTGGCGCCTGGGGAAGAAAACGCCTCACAGAACTGGAGAGAAGCTTTCATTTGCCTTACTTATCTGTAGAACCCAACCAGATCCCAGTGTGGGGGAGATTGAAGGGCACACAGGGCCTTTCTGGTACCCCATGTTATTTGAGCTTTAGGAGCCCCAGTGCTCACCCCACACCCCACACCCTCAGGAGGTCAGAGTGGCTGCAGGTGAACAGAGAGATGTCCTGTCATATGCAGCCTTGAGGGCAGCCTTGAGGGCAGCAACATCAGCCATGGCGCTCGAGGTAAAGAACACACTTGACTGCATGGGATGGTTAGACAAAACCAGGGTGCAGAGTGTCCAGTCATGCAGGTGAGATGTTAAACTGGTGAGATTTGAATGGTGACCTCATTATACACACAGGCCGGGGGGCTTAAGGACAAGTGACTCAAGGTGATGACAGAGTAGCCTGGGATGCCTCAGCCAGGAAAGGCTGCCTTACTTCAGCTGGGCTCTCGCTTCGACCTAGCTGTTCCTGTTAGGCTCACCAGCCTTTGCAAAATGCATACCATTTATTTATGTCTTCTTTCATTTCAACTTCAAGGATCGAGTCTTCTGGAGAGCAAGGGTTAGGGGTATTTTCAGGCTGGAAGAAGAAGGAACATTTAGGGGAATAGGAACCCATGATCACACTGGTGACAGGGAACAGGGATAGCTTTTCAGTTACATGCATTTTCCATGTTGGAACAAGACCAAGGTTGGCTGAATCCACTAGAAAACAAGAGTGTTTTCCCCTGAGCTTTTACTCAATTTTGAAACCACCAACTCCAATGTGATATTTTCCAGGTGAATGATTTTTTGCATTCTGTCAACTTGTTTCAGTTGTGGTTATGTTTGATATGCTGGTATTCTGGAAGGATCTCTACCGACACCCAGAATCCAATCAACACATTCGATTTTGCAAAAGAGACATTCAGAGAAACATAACATTTTTAGAGCTGGAACAAAACTTACAGATCAGCTCATCCCACCTCTCATTTCACAGATTAATGGAAGTGATGGCTAGAGGTCACACAGCTAATGAAGGTGAACTTAACAGCAGAACTCAGGCAACGCTACCTCATCAACAGTGTGGCACACACTTTATTCTGCAATTTCATGGTTTGGATTCCCATCGACTGGCCCAAATACACTCTGTAAGGGCTCAGGCTCTTTTCTTTTTCCCTGTGTATTTCTCTTGGAAAGAATTTATGGACTGTTTTCTAAGGTACCAGCAGTCAAATTGGACAGAATAATAAACAAAGAAGCACCAATGGTTTATCTACGCAAGACCAAGGTCCATCCTGGAACCCAGTGCCCACTCTCTTTCACCCTAAGAGAACCCACATCATGTCAATTATCTATTTCAATTGGTGGAGCTGAGTTGCCTCCTCCCCTCCCTGCCTCTTCCTTTTCCTCCTCTCCTCCTCCTTCTTCCTGCCTTGCCCTCCCTCAGCTACTTCCTTCCAGTTCCTACATTACACTTGCAGAGGGATTTCTCTCTCAGACTGCCTTCCAGCCACACACTCCCCTGGCTTCTGTGCTTGTCAGCACTTTCCCCTTCCTCTCGTCTTCCTCTCTTCCCACCTCCCTCTGTGCTTCTGTTTCCAAATGGCGGGCCTATCAAAATTAATGAAGTCGTTTATTTGCTCTATATCAAAAGCACACTGAAATTATTGTATTTCCAAGTAGGTCGATAGTGCTGGGTAGACACATTCTGATCTCCTGAGAGCCACCACCCACACCTCTTTATAACCTTGGGAATGCTTATGAGAATAGGATCATGGAAATGTGAGAGGCCTCTGACAAGACAGAAGGTTTTCTTGATCTATGCTGGCCCAGTCCCTTTATTTCCTATTTTGAACGTGTTTGGGGCTCTACACAAAAGTCAGTGGCGAGGTCATCCTGTGTGATCAGTATTCTAGGAGGCTGCCAAGGAAAAGCCTGAGACACATTATTTTGCTGGCAGAGCAGGTGTTCTGCTTTGAGTTGTAACATAACCAGTGAGCAATAGCTCATGAAATGACCTTCTTTTCAATTTATTAAAGGGCAAGCATTTCTTGGAAATCCATATATTTCACTAAGCTCTAAATCAAGGCTACATCTACCAGGGCCTGCTTAAAATCCCCTGCTCCAGTTTTGACTTTTATACACTGGGGCACTAACCCATTCATTTCTTCCTTTCCTTCAGAAGCCAATATTTTGTGTATTTCTTAATAGAGAGTATGTGCTGTGGGCTGAATCTGCAATGTCTCTCCTTCTCAGATGTGACAGCTGGGCTGAGCATGATCCCGAGTCTCCTTACATCCCAAGGCCATGAATAATTGTCTTTTTATCAGTCAAGAGGAGGACAAAGTCAAGTGACACTGGAGTGATGAGCTGCAATCATACCCACAGATGGACCCACAACCCTCTACCCTGGCTCTAGTCTGTAGCACAATCTCAGGACAGTTTTAATCTCCATGTTTACTTGTTCTCTGGGTCATCCCTTCACTCTTTCAGGCTGCAGATTATCTCCATACTGATCTGCCTGGAAGCCACAAAATCTGAAAACAGGTGAAAATTTTCACCTGTATGAAAATACAGGTGAATTGGATGGGCCAGGACCAACCTTAGCCTTTTCTTCCACTGCGTTGTCTTGCTCCTCATTTCCAGTGTGCAGAGCAGCAACATCCCCATCCAGCACAGGGTGAGCAGGCATGCTCTGGGGATCAGTCAAAATTTCACAAGGCACTCGAGGGTGGCTCCAGGAGGCAGGAGTGAAAATATCCCAGGGGCTGTCCTGCCCAAAGGTTCCTGGAGGAATAGAGACACATGAGCAGAGTACAGGAGCTAACCTGTCTTCCAATAAGAGCAAAGCTTACTGCTAAGGTTGTTAGGTCAACCTAGTGAAATTCAGTTCTGCTTTTGTGGTTCCATAAGAAACAACTCCAGGGCAGTTGGCTCTGGAGACTAGAGCCTGGAATATCTCCTACAGAATGCATCACCTGGGTGCGTAAGCTACTCAGTAATATACGAGGGATGTACAGGATAGATTCCAAATGGTTTCAGCACTTGCTTCAAGGAATATGAGATAAGGAGACAAGCTGACCTGCTGAAATAGAGATAGAGTCTCTCAATGCAGTGAGTCAGGTGAATGTCACTACTTTAGCCCTTTCCCTATGTCTTGAATTGTTCCTATCAAGACATGACTCTATGATAACACAGTTCTTTATCAAACTCACTGCATTCAGTCTAGCTGAGTTATCTAAGTTTAAATGTCTTTGATTCTCCCAATTTTTTGTGAAAGGAGGCTGACTTTAAGGTATACATTTTCTTTCCTGCAAAACTCACATGTTAAAGCTCTAACCCCCAATGTGACTATATTTGGAGATAAAGCCTTTATGGGAGTGATTAAGGTTAAAATGAGGTCATGAGGGTAGGACCCTGATCTGACAGGGATCTGGTAAGAAGAGATACCAGAGCAATCTCTCTGCCATGTGAGGATACAAGAAGATGGCCCTCTGCAAGCCAGGAAGAGAGCTCTCTCCAGAACCCGACCATGCCAGCACCCTGATCTCAGACTTCCAGTCTCCAGAACCATCCTGAGGTGGGAAAGAAATGACTATTGTTTCAGTTGCCCAGTCAATGGTATTTGTTAGGCAGCTTGAGCTGACTAATACACTTGGTGCTAGAGAATTTATGAAGCCCTGAACTAGGACTGAGGAGGCAGCCAGGTGGAACATTCCATACCTATGTACTCCCCATCTCTGCTCCATAGGCGCATGGTACAGTCAAGGGAGGATGACAGCAGAAACTGTTCTTCTATCAGCTCCAAACTAATGAGGAAAAAAAAGGAGGAGAGATGCTCCAAGGCTGTTCCAGCATGAAAGGGACATGGGATCGATATGTCAATGCTCCATTACTTACAGTTGGAATGTAGAAGGCAGGTCAATAAATTGAATTCTTGGTACCATTCTCTCCCTACCTCCTACCACATCACACCCTCCAAAATTCTCCAGCTCCAATTCCAAGATATCAAACAAGGTACACTGAAAATCATCTTATGGATCATGGGTCTGGGGGGAAGATCAAGATATTGTAAAGAACAGCCCCACCAGAGTTCAAGTTGTGCCCTTAGCAATGACTCCTTTCAATTCAGTAAAAACAAAACAAAACAAAAACAAAAACGGGGGAGGGGAGGCACCTGCACATGGGCGGCTCAGTAGGTTGAGTGTCTAACTCTTGATTTCAGCTCAAGTCATGAGCCCAGGGTCATGGGATCAAACCCCACATCAGGCTCTGCCTGTGCTCTCTCTCTCAAATAAAAAAATTAAATTAAAATTTTTAGAGTTATAAAAAGATGAAATTTACTGAGTTTCTAAACTTAAAGGAAAATACCAGACCAAATCAAGGAAGACAAGCATCCATTTACAAGAAAAATGAAGACTTCTAATCACTTCCTTCAGTCCTGTGCAAACAAAACACACATCTTGTTTTCCCCAATAGTAGGATTCAGGATTATAATACCATTTTCCTATTTTGACTAATTCAGAGGCCTTCTGAGAGGATTGATTTGATCAAAGCAATGGGAAGTATTTTACCCCCTACAAATTCTCAAACTCTAAAATGGATGGTACTCACGATGTCACCACACTGACATGGGCCCTCCAGAAGGTCACCTCTAAACCAAAAGAAAGAACACACCTGAGTACAGTGAGAGAGTTAATCACCATGATGCTAGATGCTGTACAAGAGTTTCACAGGATGGGGTCAGATCTGGATGAGTGTCAGCAAGTGAGAGGTGCCAGTGTGGCAGTCATTGGTTTTGCTACATTAACCGCTAAGTGTTATGCACCTACTATGTGCAAGAACCATGTCAGGTTCAAAGACATATAAATTGTGTACCATGCAAGCTGCTTATGCTATGGTTTCCCTCAGTGCTTAGGGTTTGGAAAGCACACAGGAGTAGACAAGTAGTCAAAACTGATTTGTAAAGTAACCTCATGAGTACTAAGCTCCCAGTACTTGGAGTAAAAGACCAAGGCTAGGCAGGTGGCTCTTACTCCTAAATTCCAATTTCTCTTGCTGTAGCATTTAAACTTCTGTGGGGAACAGGAAAAGGTGACTAAATGGAAGTCTGTGAATATTTACCTCTATATTGGCTTTCCAGAGACATGTCTAATGGGATTTTACATAGCCATTTAAATATATTACATACAAAATATGTTCAACAGAGCTAAATATGCTTATTCAGAAAGTTGTTCAAAGGATGCAAAGGAAAAAAATTCAAATCCTGAAAATTATGTACATGTGCATAGAAACTTTCTGAAAGAAAGTTGAGATTCATTAACAGTGTTCCCAGGATTCAGAAATGGCAGGTTAGGTGGTAGAAAAGGTCAGAGTAACAATTACTACTTTCTGTTTTTCATTCTTTTGTGCTGTCTGATTTTTTTCTAATCTTGAGCATTTTTACAATTGTATGAAAGGATTTTGAATTTTTAAACATTTTTGTACTGTCAAATCAATGTTTCCACAAAACAGATTTTCTGGAATACAGATTTCCAAAAATAAAAAATGAAGCACATCTATAACCTCATCTACCAAGAGATAACATTTGTGAAAAATTTGGTGTTTGTCTTTCCAACTTCCGATCTTCCATTGTATTTCTTTGTTTTAACAAAGACTCATACTTTCTTTTTTTAAGACTCATGTGTGAATATTGTTTTGCAATCTGAATTTTTTCCTTTAATAATTTACCACGAATATTTTTCCTGTGAATACATCTTCATCTACAGCATTGTTATTCAATGACTAGATGATATTCTAGTGTATTTGTTATATACCTCATGCATTGAATCAATTCTCCTTATGTTGGATATCTAGGTTGTTTCTAATTATTCTTTCTCCCTTATGAACAATGTATTGATTCACAACCTGATAACTAAATCTTTCTGTACCTGTCTTATTACTTCTTTGAAGTAGGATTGCCGGTTTGAAGCATTAGATATGTATAGTCAACTTGCCCTTCAGATAGCATATACCAATTTGCCCCCCTAGCCAAGGGGAGTGCCCATTTTCCTGTATCCTTGCCAACCTAAAAGTATTTGTTTGTAACTCCATTCTTAAAGCGTTTTAAGAGACCTCCTCCCCCACCCCTCATCCTCACTGGTACAATTTAATCTTCCCAACCAGAATATTACATTAAAACTCAAGCTGTGCTCATCATAGTATTTAGCATGAAGTGTGTATTGCCTACTCTTGGGGGGCTACAGCTCGGGTCCCTGCAGGCCATACTCTTTGATGTCATAGACATGCACAAAGCCTTCCTGGTCAGCCATGTAGGCGAAGGCATCTCCTGCTGTCATTGCGATGCTGCTGACAGGCGCTTTGTCTCTAGACTAAAAGACAAACAGGGTGCATTACAGACATACCCACAGGGTCCATCACACACACACACACACACACACACACACACACACACACGGCCCAGCACAGACGCACATGGGCCCATTGCAGATAAAGCAGACCTGTCAGACAATGGCAAGTGGAATGCTGTATCCCATTCACAGTAAGAACTCATCACTGTGCCCCTGTTAATCTTTCAGCAAGATAGGATACATTGTATAGATAAACAAAGCTAAAAACGTGGAGCCCAGAAGAGTTCATGTGTTCCATTGTCAGGCTATGTCAAAAAAGGAAAAAAGCAAAGGTACCTGGGTGGGTCAGCTGGTTAAGCATCTGACTTTGGCTCAAGTCATGAACTCACGGTTCATGAATTCAAGCCCCTCGTCGAGCTCTGTGCTGACAGCTCAGAGCCTGGAGTCTGCTTCAGATTCTGTGCCTCCCTCTCTCTCTGCCCCTCCCCTGCTCACACTGTGTGTGTCTCTCTCTCTCAAAAATAAATAAACTTTAAAACAAAACAAAACAACAACAAACCCAAAGCACACAAGTTATTTCCAATCAACAGTCCAACTTACGGGAGTGAAGTTTGCAATGGGACAGGCCTCCCCGAACAGCCTCCAGAAGGTGACAGAGCCTGTGGGGAGGGGAGAGCAGGAAGATCACCTGGGGTATGCACTTGGCCTGCACCCCTGAGGCTCCTGACAGGCACTGCAGCCTCAGGATACCAGAGGTCCCTTCTTTTCCCCTTGGGTAACTCATCAGTTAGAATCATTGGTGCATATTAGGGAAGGGGGTCCTCTTCAAGTGTTGTGGATCAAATGGCTCAATAGCCCTTTCTTTCTCTACTACTCTAGGCACCTTTCCTGATGAGGAGAGCTCCAGCTTTGGCTTTGGAGGAAAGGTCTAGAAGTTAGAGCTACAACAATAATGTGTCTCTGTGTGTGTGTGTGTGTGTGTGTGTGTGCGCGTGCGCGCGTGTGCACACATAAGTGTTTAAGTACTTATTTTAAACACACTGTGGGCTTTGCCTGGTCAAAGGGATTCTTGGGGGGGGGGGTCTTTCTGGCCCATCAGTCACAGTTCCTGACTGTGTTTTACACGTGGTGTTCATGCAGCAAGCCTTTGTGAAGTGGGGACCCCATGCATATTGCCTCCTCTTGGGGGCTCCCTAAATTACTAGATTAACATTTCTTCCTCTTCTCTCAGGGGTGAGGGGGCTCTGTGCTCTCATTAGGCAAAGCAGAAGCCATGGGTGCCTCAGCATGGAGCGTGGAGAGGAGAAGCCAAGGGCATCTGCAGCCCTGCAGCCAGGGCCGCGAGTCCACAGCCTGGAGGAGGCAGCTTCCCTTATTACCTAACGAGATCGCAAATGACCAAGCACCCCGGGATCAATGCACACGACTTGAGCTTCCGCTTTGCAACCAGAACACAGGTGGCTGGCTGCTTTCAGCTGGTAATTTTAATTAAAATCCTGGAGCTTTGGAGCAGGGCTGTGGCCCACTGTTACGTTTTACTAAAAAGCCTGAGGATCATGTCATTTGTGTAATGTCGCCTAGCTCGTTAGTGGCAGAGCTGGATTTGGAAGCTCATCCCCAAGCTCTCAGGGAGCCCTGGCTTCTTCCTCCTAACACGAGCAGGATGCATGCATAGCCAATCCCCACTCAGGACACTTTGTTTTTCTCCAGGCTCTTCTCTCAGGCTGCCTGTGGTTACTCGTGGCCCTCCCCTCACAATCTGTGCTTGGTGTTCATTTCACCAGACTACGTGATGTCCTCGGTGGCCCACTTCACTTGTAGAGAGAGGGCCTCTGAGTGGGCAGGTGGGGCAAGGACACTTGATTTGGAGGAAGTGGGAGTCAGGCCCTCACTCCCTGGGTGATCACCTCCCCAGCTGGCAGGACTGGGGCCAAGAGCAGGTGGCTAGGGGTCTTAGTCAACCTGGGCTTCAAGGACGGAGAGCAGCTGGAGGGAGAGACAGCAGAGGTTGTGAATGCCTAGAATGAATGCCTAGAGACCCTCCCTTGCCAGATCCAGGCCTGCAGTGGCCAAATCTTAGCAAAGAGCAGCACAGTCCTTGTGGGAAGCCATTCTTACCTTGGGGTCCATTGGCGATTAGGGAAGCAGCCACTGATTCAAACTTGGCAGCCCGAGTCTTCAGGAAGGCGAGGCAAGAAACGCTCTGGTCTGGACCTGGTGATGGGGGAGAGTTTGGCTGTGCTCCCCATAAGGCTTACAGCCCTTTCTCTCACCTTCCTCTGTAGCCCTGCCCCCAACACCACCCCCAATCATGGGCCTGAAGCAGGGGCTGTGCACACAGGGCCACAGACATGCTGATGTCCTCGCTGGTTAAGAACCAACCCAGCTAAAGTCAGGTGTGAAGGCAGCTGGCCCTGGCGTCACCCAGGACCCTAGGACTTTTGGAGAGAAAGAAGGATTTGGGAGGCTCTGCCTAGGACTTTATAGGTGCTTCTCAAGAAGTCCCCACTCCCTAGAAATTCTTGGATTGAAATAATATGAATTAACCATTATGTCACCTTTTACATTTAGCAAGATATAAAACCATGTGAAATCCCATGGTACTGGATTATTAGTTCCATGGTCAGATGAGGAAGTGGAGACTTAGATAAGTCAAAAGCTTTGCTCAGGTTCAAAAAGATGTCCATGCTTTCATTCATTTGTTTTTTTATCGACATCCATTAGATCTCCGGCAGAGCCTGGGCATTGTGCTGAGGGCTGTGGACAGAAGGGGAAGCAGAGAGCCGCACTGAAGCAACGGGACTACTCCCAGGAATGAACAGGACCCTGCTGGCACATGCAGGATGGGGCTTGTTGTGTGTGGAGAAGGGGGAGGTCAGAGAAAGCATCTCAGGGGAAGCAGCATTGGATCTGGAATCTCAAAAGATGTCATGGGCACTAGGCAGAGGGCTCTCTAGGAAAATGCATCAAACCCTAGCTTCTCTGTACAGCCAAGGGTTGGAATAACTTCTAAGTCCACCTCCCTGCTTCCCCCTGGTCTTCCACTCCCCCGCCACACAAACCCCACTACACTTTCAGCACCATGGGCACAGGAACCCCATCTGTCTTTTTCTTTTTTAAACCACTTATCTATAAATCCTCTCTCAGTGCTTAGTATGTAGAACTCAAATATTTGCTGTTGAACAAAAGTTCTACAAACTTACTTAGATGCAAACGTGAGAGCCACAAAGAACGTTGCTACTTGAGGTTGTGGGCAAGGAGCTCTCTTTCTGTTTTTCTCCTTGAGTCTGTGGGCATTGAGGTACGTGGCCCAGACTGAAGGTGCAATAAATGATCTCATGTAAATAAGGGGCTATATTAATAATGGGGTTGGTGCTAAAGTTAAATACAATGGGCGCTGTCTCACCACCATGGGGACCCCCATGCATCAGGCTGTTCATCATTCAGCAATATTTATTTTGGTCTGACTCTGAGCTCAGCACTGGGCTGTGCACTCAGGAAACCACAGTGGACATGGTAGACTCAGGCCCTGCCTTCAAACAGAAAACAATCACAATTAGATTATCTATTTAATGGACGCTTTCTATGTGCCAGACATTGAGCTAAGCATGGTCTCAACATTCCTGTACTTACTCATCACAACAATCTAAGGTAGACATTATGCTTCTGATTGTACAGGTGGTAAGACTGTGTTTTAGAAAGAATTACATTGCTTAAGGCACACAAGTAACACATAGAAGGGCTGAGATTCAAACCCAAATGTGTTCGCATCCAAAGCCCATGACCTTGGTATTAGATCTGTAGTTGTCTTTGGGAGGCTGAGGATTCTCAGAAGCAGGATGGAGGGTCACCCACATGGCAGAATGGCTCCTGGCTAACTCCTTGGCCCTGTTGTCCTCTCCAGTGCCTGGAATATACCTAAAGTGATTAGGCTAAGTGTTACCTGACTCTCAGTTTATCAGAATTATTTACATGGGGGAGGGGGGACAAGAAAGGGGACAGGCAAAAGAGGGGGAGATGCAGCAAAGATAAAGTCCCTTCACTTTGTCCTCATTCATCCTGCGGAGGGCCTGCAGAGTCCCAAGAAATGGCCTGCATGTCACTTCCCTACTTTCCTCAGGGGGCATTTCACTTTTCTAAACCTCAGTCTTCTTCATCTATGATGTGGAGACAAGACTTCCTATTTTATAGAGTTTTGCCAGGAGCAAATGAAACACTATGCAAATTGTGCTACATGACCTTGCAGTGATGACCAATGGGGACAATGAACCTCAAGTTCACGGCATAGAGATGCTCAACAAAGGGTAGCTTTCATAATCTTTGTTACTGAACTTTCTGGCCCCAGTGTCCTCATCTGTGAAAATGGGTACAATAGCACCTATCTTTTAGGGTTAATGTGAGCACTAAATGAGGTAAAATATTAAAACCACTCAGGAAAATACATACAAGATTAAATATATTATTTATATAATATTTATATTTTGCTATATTAATTATAACTCTATTATTGAATACTAAATACTATTTAAATTATTATACTAACTAAATATTATATTATTATAATTGACAAATATTATTTATAAATCAGAAAATATTATTATATTGTTTTCCTAGTGAAAAAGCCTTGTATCTAAGAACTAATAAATGAATTCAGCACAGCAGCAGGATACAAAGTAAACACACAAAAATCAGTTGCATTTCTATACACAAACAAGGAACACTCTGAAAAGGAAATTACAAAAACAACTCTATTTACAGTAGAATCTAAAAGAATAAAATACTTAAGAACTAACTAAGGAAGTGAAAGACTTGTACAATGAAAATGACAAAACATTGCTGAAAGAAATTGATGACGTAAATAAATGGAAACATATATATGTTCACAGATTGGCAGACTTAATATTGTTAAAGTGTCAATACTACCCAAAGTGACCTACAGACTCAGTGCAATCTCTATCAAAATCCCAATAATGTGTTTTGCAGAAATAGAATACCCGTCCTAAAATTCATATGGAATTTCAAGGGACTTAGAAGGCCAAATCTTGAAAAAAAAAATTCAAGATTTTTTTAATCTTGAAAAAAAAGAGCAAAACAGGAGGATTCACATTTTTTATTTTAACATTTACTATAAAACTACAGTAATCAAAACAGTGTGGTACTGGTATAAAGACAGACATATAGACGAATAGAATAGAATAAAGATCCCAAAAATGAACCCTCACATTTACAGTCAAATGATATTTGACAAGGGTGCCAGACTGTTCAATGGGGAAAGGAAAGTCTTTTCAACAAATGGTGTTGGGAAACTGGATATCCACATGCAAAAGATAAAGACCCTTATCTAACACTAACACTACATACAAAAATTAAGTCAAAATGGATTAAAGGACTAAATGTAAAACCTAAAAGAGTAATACTCTTAGAAGAAAACACAGGGCAAAAAGTTCATGACATTGAATGTGGCAGTGATTTCTGGGCACACTAAAGGCACAAAAACAAAATTAAAAATACACAATTTAGACTTTGTGAAAATTTTGAAAAATGTACAACAAAAGACACTACCCAGAGTAAACAGGCAACCTACAGAATGAGAGAAAATATTTGCAAATTATAGATCTGATAAGGGATCCGTATCCAGATTATATAGAGAGCTTCTAAAACTCAACAATAAAACCAAACAACCTGATTCAAAAACGGGCAAAGGACTTGAACAGATGTTTTTCCAATAAAGATATACAAATGGCTGATATGCAAGTGAAAGATGCTCAACATCACTAATCATTAGGGCAATGCAAATGAAATGGTACAATGAGATACCACCTCCTGCCCATTAAAATGACTATTACAAACAAACACACAAAATAACAAGTGCTGGTGAGAATGTGGAGAAATTGGAAACTTGTGCACTGTTGGTGGCAATGTAGAATGACAAAACTACTGTGGAAAACAGTACAGAGGTTCCTCAAAAATTAAAACAGGGGCGCCTGGGTGGCTCAGTCAGTTAAGCGTCTGACTTCGACTCAGGTCATGATCTCACGGTTCGTGGGTTCAAGCCCTGCATTGGGCTCTGTGCTGACAGCTAGCTCAGAGCCTGGAGCCTGTGGATTCTGTGTCTCCTAATCTCTCTGACCTCCCCCTGTTCACGCTGTCTCTCTCTGACTCTCAAAAATAAATAAAAAACATTAAAAAAAATTTTTTTTACTTAAAAATAAAACTACCACATAATCCAGTAATTCCACTCCTGGGTATATACCCCAAAGAACTGAAAAGCAGGGCCTTGAAGGAAAAGATATTGGCACACTCATGTTTAGAGCAACACTATTTACAAGAGCTAAAATGCAGAAGCAACCCAAGTGGCTACTAATGGGAAAAGGGATAACCAGGCTGTGGTACATCCACAATGGAATATTATTCAGCCCTAAAAGAGGAAGGAAATTCTGTAATATGCAACAACATGGTGAAACTTGAGGACAAGACACTAAGTGAAAGAAGCCAGTCACAAAAAAGACAAATGCTCTATGATTCCGCTTACATGAAGGACTTATAGTAGTCAGAATAATAAAAACAGAAAGTATAATGGTGGTTGCAGGGCTGTGAGGAACAGAGAATAGGAAGTTAGTGTTTAGGGGGGACAAAGTTTCAGTTGGGGATGATGAAAGGTTCTGTGGACAGGGGTGGGGGTGGGGGTACACAGCCATGTGAATGTATTTAATACCATTGAGCTGTAAGTTTTGCTGTGTGTATTTTACCACAATAAACAAAAAAGGAGGAGGAAGGGAGGCAGAGGGGAGGGAGGAGGACTGGGAAAGGGGAGGAAAGGGAAGGGGAGGAGCAGAGAGAAAAAGCCTTAGTCTCCCAGTGAACTCATTGTTTTCTTGGATTTTAGCCTGATTGAAATCTCTGTCTCTATTTCACTCTCAAATTCTTTCTCTTTGATGTGAAGGAAGATGTAACAATCCCAATATAAGGAAGAACGAAGCTAACGTGTTGAAAAGTCAGCAGAAAGAATTTGTCTGAAGCTCATTTGGCTTTGCTTGCTCAATTGCCTCTCTCTCAGCTCCCCTCTGTACTAAGAATGACTTCAGAAGAATTGTCCAGACAGTTTTCCAGAGATGGTGACCTCTTTGTGATGCCATGCCTCTTTTCACATGCCAATCCCATGTGAAAAAGACCACTGGGTTCTTGGACCTTCAAGAAGAGCCAAAACTGCTCTTTCCTGGAATGGTGAGGAACATTCACATACTTTCATCTCATTTTTTTGCAATGTAGAAATGTGAATTATTGGTAACTATGGCTGGCTTTGCACTTTGGGAGCAGAAAAGGAGTTTATCAAAGCCAACAGTCACATAACTTTAAGCAATAAATGCTGCTGCAAACAGGGTTTTAAATTAGAGCTGCTGGCTAAAAGGTCAACATTGCATTCTTGGCCAGTGACTTTATTTTCATTTTAATGGCAAAGAAAATAATCTTTTAGAAGGAAATGCCATCACTTTTTCTCCCCAAAGGTTTTTAAAACTTTTAGGCACTCTCGAAAAGAACTTCATAGAAGAATCTTTTTTGTTATAGCAAAGGGGGTAGGAATAGACTGGAAAATAAGTCTATAGGTAAGAATTTCTTTTTACTCCCATGGTGTTTAGTGGAAGCCACTGCCTTCCAGAATGTCTCTCAAGCAGTCCAGAGGCTGATTACATTGCTTTACCATTGTTTTATTTACTGGACATTCACATCTTGTCTCTGAATTTAGACTGTGAGCCCCCTTGAAGGCAGCATCAGGCCTCACATCTCTCTCTCATCTTTTCTATGTATTTCCCTCAGGGTTATGCCCATGGGAATGGTTCAAAGATATTTTCTGATCAAATAAGTTATTAGAACGTTTCCTTGGCTAGTAAGTTATCAAATGCCTAAAGCAGGGGATTGCAGTGTAGGGTTCTCTGAGGGTTTGCTAGTTGGGTTTCAGGAGATGCAAGAACTCACCAATTTTATGCAAAATCACCAGTGGTTGTGAGGTAGTGGGTCCCCTGGCTGTTGGCAGATGAGTGGCTGCGGACTGCTACTTGGGAAAGATAAGCCTGGACTCTAGAGGTAGGGCAAGGACTGGTAGGAAGTCTTTGGTGGCTGTGGGTTCCCACTGTTTTCCATCCAGCACAGTCAGCCATGGTGTGATCAGTGTGTTTTCCAAATGGTTCATGACTTGGAGAAAGAGGGGTGTGGTTACCAGCCCCAACATCCAGCCCTGGACCTGGCACATAGCAGGAGCTCATCAATATGTGTTGAATGAAGATATGAATGAATGGGCCCATGATCACATTAGCAGAGAGAGTGGGTCTTAAAGAAATGGAACCAGGGCAGAGAAGTTAGGGAGAATGGGGTGGGAGAGTAGAGAAAAGTTTTGCTATAAAATATAGAAGTAGTAAGGACTGACCTATGTAGGGGAGTGTGGGAGGTCATGGGACCCTCAGGGCACCTGAGGGGGCTAATGGCAAGGGTGACATAAAGCTTAAAGGCACACAACTGAGTGACGCATCAGGAGATGATGTCTGAAGTAGGATGGGGGGCATGTGTGATAGCTGGGAAAAGGAGCCCATAAAGAGTGGTATTGAAGATAGAGGGCTAAAACTGGCACTGTAACAAAGATCGAGAGGCTGAGCAGGGAAGAGTGTCCTTCAGGTGGACAGTGGATGAGAAAAGGCTCCCAAAGGTAGTGGGCTGGGCTGTGAGATAGGCTCTGATGGATGAGTGCCTGGAATACAGACTAGCAAGCTGAACTCTTAAGCTACCTCACAGCTTTGGGAATTTCCAGCTGACAGGTTAAACCTGAAACCAGGCTAATCGCTTCTCACCAGCAAGCTGTCCAGAACTGAGATTCCTTTAGACAATGAGCCAGGAGTCCAAGCCTGCTGGGGCCTGTGCAGAACGGCCATGGAGCCTACCCCCCACCTACCTTTTCCTTCTTCTGCACCATCAGAGGGGCTGGGAGTGTTCAGCTTGCAGTAAATGTGGCCTGAGACGACGTTCCAAATGATGACCTCCCCATCATAACTGGAGGTCGCAAGAAGAAAAGGTGGACATTGAACCACACAGAGGATGTCATCCTTGTGCCCATGGTTCTGAGAAGGAGAGAGAGGGAGAGGGAGAGGGTAAGAAAGCAAATCCCCAATCACCCCCAGCTAGTTCTCCTTCTAAGATCTCTAAGACAGAGGATGCAGGCAGGTCTCTCCTCCTATGATTGCCCACAATGAAGATTCATCTGGAAAGTCATGGCCCAGCCCCAAGGATCGGGACATCCCTCCAGGCAGGAGTCTGTGTACAGCTCAGCCAGAGAGGTGCTGCCTCTCCTTGGGTCAGCTCTATTACCTTCCCCAGGGAAGCAATGGTCCTAGCAGCCCCTGACCTCCCCACACTTCTGGCAAGTAGAGTGTTTGCAAGGAGCCGTTTGGGGCTGAAATGGTAATGGCAATGGGATAATGGAAACCAGCTCTGGACCAAGGTGGTTTGGCTTCCCAACAGCTCAGGTCTAAATTCCCGAGTGTGCTGTCTCTTGACTTGCTTCCTATAGGGCTCCTATCTGCAGCTTACACATGCAATTAAGCATTGAGATTACCTACTCTCCTCAAAAGGAGGATTTGGATATGGATCCTTAAGAAAGATGAGAATCCAAAATGGAATTTTTTGAGAGCAGTGCTGCAGAGAGCTTAAAGAGCCCTCAGCCACAGTCCCTCAACATCCTCACCGGGATACAGTTTCCATGTGAAGAGAATTAGCTTCTCCTGCTGCTGTAGAGATATCATTTCTCCCTTGCCCTCACATACTTTCCATAGAGCGTCCCTTGAGGACCCGTCCATGTCATCTAAGATGTCCCTTCTGCCTGAAAGTGGCTGGGAAGGTGGTGGCATAAGACAGTTGGAAAAGAGAGGGTCAGTGGCTCTCTCTTTCCCACAATTTTCTGCCAAATCCTGCCTCCTGTGATTTGAGACCATGTATGTCTGGGATTCTCCTCCTGTGATTTCCCACCGCCCGCACAGTGTAATAGACATGCCTTAGCATGACTGTCACTCTGACTTTTCAACCTCATTTCCCTCCTGTGCCGAATGCTCCAGCCCCTCAAACTTTTCCTAGCCTTCCAAACAACATGCCTTTCATGCATCCTTCCTGACTTGGCTCATGTTTTCATGCTTTCCCCCTTCCTATCATCTAGATTGCTTTCCTCACCTTGGCCTCCTGGAACAATCCTAGTAATCTTTTGATCTCCTGTGTGATGTTAGAGCAAAGTTAGTAGTTCCCATTTCTAGACTTCTCCAGCATCTTATACATTATTGTATTATCTGCCACATAGCATGATTATTATTTCCATAGTTTATCTCCTCACCAGGCCATGAGATTCTGGGCAAGGATCACATTTTATTCACATTGTATCTCCTGGGCCTATCCATTAAGCACAACACTATGCGAGTGCTCAAAAATATGTGTTGAGTGAATTAATAGTTGAATAAATAAATATTTGAATGAATGAACACTTCACTGACTTGGCATGACATGCATCCTTGCAATGGCCATCATTTCTAGGGCATTGTCTGCACAACTCTGTTCTTTCATTCAATAATCACTAATCAGCAAACTCTGGGAAAGCAGAGATCACGAGATGACTCTTTTGATCATAACTTCATCTTCAGTGAACAAAGCACACTTGGTTCACAATAGGCACTTGGCATATGCTAGTTAAATGAAATCAAATTAACTGGGCATTACTATAAGCGAGACACTGGGCTAGGTCCTGGGAATACCATGGTAAAGGCAGACAAGGTCTATCTTCACGAAGTTTGTATTCTAATGACTCATACCTTTTGAATGTTTATGGGGGTATAAAGTAAGTGTAGCAGATGATAGGGCATGGTGGCTTTTCTTTCTTAGCACTTGTCTTATTGGCTTGGCATCCAGACAGTTTTGAGGGAGGTCATTTAACCATAGGAGGCTGTAGAAAGTTGGGGGGGAGGCATTTTGCTAATAAGTATCACAGGAAGTCTCATGGCTATGGGGCCCCCAACAAGCCACAGGGCAGGAATGTTATCTCTTAGGCTTCCTGGCCATCCAAGGATGACACAGTAAATGCATACAATTTTGCACGCCAAGCAGAAGCAGGAAGTAGATGCTTCTTTGAGGGAAGTCACACCCACATCTTGGACAGCCATTCCTGCACTACATGAATCCCAGCTGAGCTCATGGAAATCTGCATGGACTGGTTTCAGTGGCCCCATGCCCCATTCTGAACACAAGGCCATCACTCTTCCTGTAGGGTAAGCAGCTGCCTGGAGCTCAGTATGCCTGGCTGTACCTGGACCCGAGTCATGAATCCTGCCACAGGAAAGGCCTTTGAGGCCCTGTGACAACCCCAGACAGGCCCAGGAGAGTCAGGGTGAGTCTCTGAGTGACAGATATCCTCCACATGTGCCACAGTTTGGGTGGAGGGCCAGACAGTGTACCAAGGCTCACCAGGTCATCCTGCCAGTGTGGCTGCGGCTTCCAGAAGTGATGAAAGTCACATGGTGCATCCTGTATGCAAAGCCAAAGAGGAGACGTTGTGTAAGCAGTAAATGAGCTGCCAACACACAACTTCAGAGAGAAGGTGTTGGCACATTTTATAACCCTACCCCTCACCCCACCAGTGATGTAGTTTTTCAAAATGTCAAAGCAAATTCCTCTAGTGCTAGTGGGAATAAAAAGCAATCCACTTCTGACGTTTGGGTGATTGCATTTCAACAAATCATATGTCAACTGACAAACTCTCCTTGGATAGTCTGCATAGCTTTGCCTTCATAATAAGACCTATAGCCGCTGCATGCGTTAAAACAAAAGCCATCAGCTCAGTAACCTATAATACCAAAGGATGGATTCAACACCACAGCTTCTCAGGTAGTCATCTCTCAAATCATCTGGGGATGCACAGCTTAGGTTGTGAAATACAGCACACCTTCAAATGAATAAAGAACTTACAATGTTTAAAGACCTTCAGAAATCCATGACCATCCAGCATAGCAAGCAGGGGAAATAAAATGTCACAGGTAGATTTAAAACTTAGTTTCAGTCAGCATTTTCAAATTCCCCTGTCCCTGAATCCTTTCTCTATCTCTAAGCAATAAAAAAAGGTGTTTTTTTTTTTCCATACAGAAGCTTACAGATGGTATTTCATCTCCTGTTTCCACTTACAGAGGGATCAGAGCATAAAGACAAGGTAGGAGGAAGAAGGAAGAAAGCAATGGGCTACACAATTGACAGAGTGGTGAACCCTCAGTTAGGGGCAAGGATATACCAGATATGCTGAAGCCCCAGCATGCTGAGGAGGAAGCGGCATGACAGCCCGTATGAGGGATAAGGACACAAGGCAAGGTGTGGAGAGCTCCACGTTCCAGGCACAGTCTGCTTTGGATTCCCAGGGATGCCCTCTATGCCTCTGATAGCTCTTCTAGCTAACACTTTGCCATACTGTGACTCACAATAAGAAATAGGTATTTGGTCTTTGTCCCCACTTCTGGCAGACAGCTCCTAAAACCCTTGGAACTCTTTAAGTGCTGAGAGCGTGGGAGGTGTCTGAAATTGGTGGGGGTCATGAAGGCTGGGCTTGTGGGACTGAGTCTGTAACCTGTGGGATCCAATGTCATCCCTGGGTAGATGGTACCAGGATTGAGTTGAATTGTAGGACACCAGCTAGTGTCAGAGAATTGCTTGCAGGTGTGGGAACCAACCACTCTCAGAATTGGGTGAAGAGTCATTATACCTCTTCCCATAAAAGAGAACTAGAGGGGTGGCTGAGTGGCTCAGTCAGTTAAGCATTGGCCTTCAGCTCAGGTCTTGATCTCACGATTCATGAGTTTGAGCCCCATTTTGGTCTCTCTGATGTCAGCGCAGCTCCTGCTTCAGACCCTTTGTGTCCCCCTCTCTCTGCCCCTACCCCACACACTCTCTCTCTTAAAAATAAATAAATAAACTTAAAAAAAAAAGGTAATCAGAGGGAAGAAACAAAAACAAAAAACAAAGTAAAAAGGTTTCTAAAAGGGAGGAAGAGAGGGAGGGAGGAAATTCTTCTGTCTATATCATGACTTGTACAGAGAGCAGAAGTCTAAATAATTTCTACAAACTTTGTTTTTAGTGGGGAAAAAAATCAATGGTAGGGTTGGTGGGGTGAGGATAGCAATCTGAAGCAGAGTTTTGAATATCTCATTTTGTACATTTCACTTACAAAATACACATTTATTCTTCTGTCCCATCCAACAGCTATGATGCACCTAGGACAGTAACAGAGTAGTACATCTCAATCCTTAAGCTTATCATCTCTTTAATTTTTGCATGCCATCAATGCTGTGGTGTCATTTTGCCATGTCTATATGAAAAATGGAGAGAGCAAGAGCATTTCGTATGAAGAGCAAGATAAAATGTGATTTGATCAGTTAGGGTCAGTGTTTTCACTGCTACTTAAGGGATTTATGATTTCCAAGGTCTACGGATGCTACTCCAGGAGCAGTTGCCCTCCTGAGGGTTAAGTAACCTAAGAGCTCAATTGAAACACAGAGGCAAGGGCACATGCAGAAACCGATCAGGAGTTGTTTTCACACTTTTTGTGTTCAGGAGAGAACGTATCGGATTTTTATTCTTGGCCTTGTGGCTGCTGAATTTAATTACACTGGTAATCTAGCTTGTGATTTTTTCCTCAAGAAAGCATTTGGTGGGGAGATAGAGTGCTCCCTATCTCTACTTCTAAATAGTCATCAAAATGTGCAGAGAATTGCTTCTAATATTCTAGAAGAGTCTAGTTGTCTAAATTACCATCAGAGAGCAACCAGGGTCCTTGGGAATTCTTTGACATATTTCCTTCTGGGAAATTCCCTTCACTGTCTTGGTGTCCTCTTCCAAAATAGATTTTGTATCAAAAAGGTGCATGTCCCTCTTACATCCAAGCTGAATATAACTCACTTATTTTGGTTCACCTCCAAGTAGGTACAATCACAGACTTCACTTGGCTTTTCATCTAGAAAGATAACATTATCAACTTCTGTTAGACATTCTTCTTTATTAGTTCTTAAATCAGTTTATACATATTGACTCAATTCAATGATGATTGGGGAAAACTTGCATACTAACTTTCTAGTTTTCAGACCACAGTTAGGTGTATTTCAAGCCACCAAAGCACTGTTGGCTTCCTACCCCCCTCATTGCCCAAAAATGCTGGTCCTGCCCTTGCCTGGTTTTGAGAAGAGGCTCGCCTTCTCCTGACAGGATCCTACACAGTGCCTGGCACTTGCTGAGTGAGAGGACAAGTGTACACAGCCAGGTCAAAAGCAGAATTGGGAATCACAAACTCATTACTTTGAGTGGTTTTTGTCTTTTTTTACTTCGACTTCATTTATGTTCCTTGATAATTGAAAAATATTTGCCTCTTTTCTTCCTCACAGAAAGTCAACCAGCTGGAATTGTGGAAATTCTACCAAGATCAGGGTGAACAGGTGGAAAAGCAGCCATGGAAAAAAAATCACAATAACACACAAAACGACTAGCTTTTAGTTTGTTCATCCAGATTTTGACTTATGTGGTGTTTAAAATGCTTAGAAAAGCTAAGCTCTTTTAAGAACTCAGATAAACATACCAGGTAATGAAGGAGCAGGTGCACAAGACTTAGCTGGGAGCACATACATTCATGTACAGTACATCTCTCCTCAGTAGTTTACAGTCATTGGTAAAATGAAGGGCCAGAGAAAAAGAATGTAGGATTGTTACATGTACCCTAGATTCCGTCTCATTTCTTTCTTCTACATTGTCAACAAATGCCCAATCTCGCATCATTATGTTATAGTAACCCTTGGTAGGAAGCGACTTGCCATGTTTCAGTGTGTGCAGACAATGTCCATTGTTGTAGCTCCATATTTTCAGACAGCCATCTCTGCCCCCGGTGACTAGCCTAGGAAACAGTCTTCTGTCAGAAAATCATGTCAGGGAGCTCACTGTCTAATGGCTGAAGGTACTGGAGAAGACATATACCTTTTCCCATTGGAGTCAAAGGTCAGACACGTGATTCCAGCATTGCCATGAGCCCCAGTAAATCCAGACAATGGCCTTCCTGTTTCAAAGTCCCACACTTTTACCACCTGTATCCAGAAGTTGAAAAAAAAGGGGGGGTACTTAGAGACACTGGCTATCAAATTACAGGCAATCTGCGTTCAGAAGTCTAGTGCCACAGATATGAAAGATAAAAACTTACCCTGAAGGTACCTGTAAGTTTGGCTTACCTTGGTGTATTCATTTGCTGGGCTATATTATAAAATACCACAGAACAGGGTGCTTAAACAATAAACATTTAGTTTCTTACAGCTCTGGGAGCTGGAAGTCCACGATCAAATTGCTGGCAGGTTTGGTTTCTTTGGGGAGTCTCCTCTTGGCTTGCTAATGGCCACCTTCTCATTGTGTCCTCACAGTGTCTTTCCCCTGTGTATGCACACCCAGGGTTTCCTTATGTGTCCAAATTTCCTCTTGTTACACAGATACCAGTCAGATTGGATCAGGACCTACCCTAACATCCTCATTTTAACTTAATCCCCTCTTTAAAGGCTCTATCTTTATCCAAATGCAGTCACATTCTGAACTGCTGGGGTTGGGACTTCAACATAGGAATATTGGGGAAACAAAATTCATCCTATAATATACTCAACAAGAAGACTGGAAAATTTAGAAATCTTTAGATAAAAATCTCCTGACTACCTAGGCTCACAGAAATAAGTGTGGATTGAATTTTGATCAGCAAAATTTACTCAGTGCCAAGGTGAAGCTCAGTGAGGAAGACAGCCAGTTTTGGGAGAAGGATATGTCTTCTAAACCCTCAGCTTTAAGGTTTTGCTCAGTCTAATTAGTTTGAGTCCTGAGGTTGCTTTCTTTCTGCCCTATTCCTTGAACAACCTTTGAATGAGAATCATCTGTAAAGGGAGTTGAATGTCATCTTTCATGACTGGTTGAGGAAGTGCCTAGAGGAGGGCTTCCTCTAGGGCAGGCTTTCTGGAGCCTGTACACAAAGGTGTGATGGTGTGGGAGGAGAAATGTCTGAAGACAACACTCTTCCTCGGAACTACTGTATGTTCCTTTCAATCTTCCACTTTGTAAAAGAGGCTATTCCATTGACAGAGAGAAACGTCCAGGTCTCCAACCCAGAAACCAGAAGGCATGCTCTCAATGGTGTTGATTTAAATACCTAAGACCAGATTTTTAGTAGTGTACACATTGCTTCCTGCCCCTTTGTCCTCTTACAATGCCAGGGCTCATGGGGGTGGGGGTGGGAGGTGAGCATGCCACACATTTGCTTCCTTAAAAAGAAATTCCCCCAACACCACCACCTGCTGCTGCCGGTAATGGGAGTGAAAAGACTGAAGTAAGCAATTGCAGTATCTTTAAAAATGACTTTAGGGTTCTATTTATAAAATCAGGAAAAGTCTAGGGGCATCTGGGTGGCTCAGTCAGCTAAGCATCCAACTCTTCTGGATCTCGGCTCAAGTCATGATCTCACAGTTCATGGTATAGAATCCCGTGTTGGGCTCTGTGCTGACAGAGCAGAGCCAGCTTGGGATTCTCCCTCTCCTCCCACCCCTCTCTACTCCTCCTGCTTGCTTTCTCGCTCTTAAAATAAATAAATAAAAACTTTAAATATATATATGTATATGTATATAAAGAATCAAGAAAAGTCTAAAGGTGCTATTTACACTTTCTAGGAGCATTTTGTAGAGGGAATTGCCTTACCTGGGCCTCTCTAAGAACTTCCTTGCCCCAAGTGATTCTTCCCTTGCAGTTCCCATTCGATTAAACATATTAAAATGCAACCACATCCCAAATTAAATATAATTTTGCTATTAAATTTTAAACACCTTTATAAATTATCTATACTTTTAAGCTCTGTTGATAAAAAATATTCATTATTCTTAAAATGTAAACATCCATATTACATATAACTCTATATATGTATGTGTAAGTTGCAGTTCCTATGTAACACATTTTAACACACTGCAACACATTGCAAACATTTAACTGAATATTTATTAGTATACATTTTCAAGCCATTTTCAGAAGCATTGAAAGTTGGTGGTCCCTAGCACTCTGCTATGCAACTCAATGAATAACATGTGGCATAGAGGTATTCATAACTTCAGGCATCATGCAGATCTTGGGCTATGTTCTCTCCTTCACAAATATAGACTGCAATGTGGCTTAGATGCTATGGATCGTGACAGTGGGCATATGCTATAAAGATTTCACACACATCTGCGGGATGAGTAAATACTCAAATCAATAATTCAATCCAGTAAGTATCAGAGTTTATTACCAGCATGTGCTTAATACAGTAAGAGCTGACAGAGTATTTATATCTCAATTCAACATCTCCTTACCACCCACAGGCAGGGAAGATATGCATATCAAAAGTAATGCTATTGAAGGAGGCTGATTGTTAGCATAGAATTAGGAGCTCAAATGCTAATGAAGCCCTTCATTCTGCCTGGATGTGGGAGGGATCTAGCAACTTTTCTCAGAGGAGTCATATCAGAGTTGTGCATTGAAGAATAAGAAGGGTTTTGACAGATTAAGAAGAAAGAAGAAGGAAACATAGAGATGAGATGCACGTTGCCCTAACTGCTTGGTGAATTGTTAGAGAGGCAAGGCTCACACTTGGGAAACAGAGCAGGACAAGTGAGGACTGAACCCAACACCACATGGGAGGTACTGATTATGGGTGGTCAGGAAGAGAGAGATGGCTTGTGTGAGTCCAGAGCAGGGAAGGCAAGTTTTGTGGAGGAGATAGGACTTGAGTTGGACCTTGAAAGATTGCTAAATTGCGTGTAGGAAAAGAGGAAGAAGCAGGAAATTCCAGGGTGGAGATAGAAGAAGTTGGATAGAACCAGAGACAGGCATGTGCAAGATGCTGAGACCAGAAGGTTGGCGTCCTTGGGGTCACAGGTGATTCTGATAGATCTGGAGGATAAACCTTCTTTATAAGTATGAACCCAAATTATACAAGAACTCACCTTCTTTGAGATGAGTTGAGATTGAGTCATCATCAAAAATTTTTGATCAACAGACCAAGTAATCTATTTCTTATAATACTTAATAAACCCGTGGTGATGACTAATCTCAGGAGCAGGAACGGGCAAGAACACATGCAAAGAACCGAGTCTCACTGGGAGAGAAGCCGAAGTGAGTCTGAACATGAAGAGGACACTACCAGACTGCGGTGCTCCCAAGGCTATAAATCCTAAAGGCAGGGTGTGCCAGGCAATTGCGGGAGGAAGGAAAGAGGGTGCTGCCAGATCACCTGGGACACGGGCTTGTCATGCCAGAGCCTAGGCCAGTGATTCAGAAAGTGATTGAACTGATATTTAGGTGAGTTCAGAACATTTAAAGTTGAGTGTACTTGGGCTGTGTCCTCCCATTAGCTCAAGGACAGGAGTATGTGAGTCATGAGGATGTGTGTGCTTCTCTACTCTCACTCTTTATGCAAGGAGCACTGGTTATGTCCCCTCCTGTGGGCCAGACACTGTGTCACTCACCCAGGACAGGGCCAGCATGATCCTCAAGAGCCCTAGTGAAAGGGGAAGTGGATGTGGAATGCTCCATACCTTCACCCCCAGATTAGAGTGACACTAAAATAGGGTTCTATTAGTCATCCTACACCACACAAGAGAACCACCATGAAATAATGCCATCCTTTAGTATCAGGTGGCCCTTCCAAAGAGCTCACACTACAGGCCACTGGGGAAACTGTGAGCTCTTCCATCCACCTTTCAAAGAAGAGTGTCCAAATAAAACTTGATAATTAGCAGAGTTGAAGAAGTCTAGTAGAATTCTTACCTTCCAGGGACAGACTGTCCCCAGAACACTCTGCTCAGCTTCAAGGTGAGGATGATGGGGTTAGACTCACACTCAGAACCACATCATTGCTGAAGAGAACAAGAGTTGATACTTACAGACGCTTCTGAGCAGCTGACCACGTGCCTGAAGGTTGGGTTGTAGCAGCAACAGACCACAGGCTCCTGGTGGGAAATCACCAGGGAAGGCTCTGAGGGAGACCTTACTCATGAAAAACAGAGAGAGGATGAAAACCTGAATCAAATGTATGACATGGATACCCAGGATGAGGTATCTATTGCTTTATTAAGAAAGGTTAAGAGGATAAAAATGGGTTTGTGACCTTGGACAAGTAGTTTAACTGCTCAAAGCTCTAACTTTCTTATCTCTTAAATGGGGGATAATGATATTTACTTTAAAGGGTTGTTTTGAGGATTAGCTGAGAAGACTCATATAATGTCCTTCCCACAGACCCTCATGGGGCATCATTGATATTCAATGAGAGCAGCCACTAACCATGAAAACTCACACCACATGTCTCCTATTTAGGGCAAGAGGCATTTGATTTCATGTAATTGTGGACCTTCTTTGCTATTAATTTACATCCCCCCCACCCCTGCAAAGAAGCACAGACTTTATTATCCCATTCTGAGTCTTCAAGCCTGAATAGCAGCACTTTCATTCATAGCCGGGAAAAGGCCTTGCAGTGTGCTTCCTGTGGGCACCCAGGGGTCAAGGACTCACCTGTGTGCTTGGCCCTTGCCCCCTGAGCTGTCCTTTGGGAGGACAGTGCACAGAATGGACGGCTCTAGGGGTTAAGCAATCCAACCGCTTTGCACTCATTTCCTCATTTGTAAACTGGAATCCTTTATACAAATTTAGTGAGGAGTGGGGGCACCTGGGTGGCTCAGTAGGTTATGTGTCTGATTCTAGATTTTGGCTCAGGTCATGATCTCACAGTTCATGAGTTTGAGCCCTGCATCAGGCTCTGCACTGGCAGTGTGGACTCTGCTTGGGATTCTCTCCCTCTCCCTCTCTCTCTCGTTCTCTCTCTTCCTCTCTCTTCCCCTTCCCAATTCTCTCTCTTTCTCTCAAAGTAAATAAATAAACTTAAAAAAAAAAAAAGAAACTGTGTGGGGAGTGAGGAAAAGGATGTAAAATGTCTGGAGAAGTCTGACAGGCAGTGAACACTCAATAAATGAACGTTGGTTTCCAGGATCCTTGCTCTGCTTTCTCTCTTTATTGTCTGTCCAATGCCCGCACCCCAAGGCTGGGCCACTAGAAGAGATTCAGTGGGTCAGAGACATCCAACTTGGTGCCAGACTATTCCCAGTGTGTGGAATCCTTTCCAAGGAAACATAACATTTGACAGAAAGCCAATTTGCGCTTTCCCATGAATGGTTTCTGGTGGGGGTCTCTGATGGTGGAGTCTTGCCTGTGGGGGAAGAGGAGGGAACAGCCCAGAGAGAAAGCGTCGTGCCTGCAGCCAGAGAGCCTTCTGGCTTTACCTACATCCCTTCCCCAACACGGAGTGGAAGGCACTGAGTCTCCCTGCTTCCCAGGGAGAACCACCAGAAGGCTGAGAAGGATCAGGTCGCTTGATCACAATCACAAAGCTCTCAAGTAACAGAGCAGGGACTGGCAGACATTATTTGGCACCTACATGTTGGCGCTAGAGATTGAGCCTGCTTTTGCCACAAGGTGGAATTTCAGTCTCTTCACTTAAGAAAAAAAAAATCAGCCCAACAGGCTGTTTTTCTACACACTGAGACCATGTAGAACAAACAGCCGCTTAATTGATGGAAATTCCGTTTTTCAGCCAGTTGCTCAGGCATCTTGAGCAAAGCGCCTGCTCTTCCAGGCCAGGCTGTGATGGGGACTGTGCAGGGGTTCTGCCAGGCGCTCCGAATCCATGGGACTTTAGGAAGGGAGGGTACAGACACGGGTGGCGGCCATACACGCTGGGCTTCTTGGTAGAGTTTTGATGCTGTGAAATCTGATGGCTTTTCTGTAGAGTTCATTCTTGATCTGTGGTTTAATCACTGAACACAATAAAGGTTCTTCCTAGGCATATGTTCAAATTAAAAAAAAATCATTTTTGGCTCAGGAAATCCAGCTGTCATTTTCATATAGATGGGATGTGAAACCTGCAAACCACGGTATTCAGCCTAAGCCTTCCCTACATCCTGTCCTTAGTCTTCAAAAATTGCAGATTTCGGATTTGTCGTCCTGCTGAACGCTAAGGGGGAAACTGAGGCAGAGAGTGAGGAATGTATTCCCAGGTGATGGGGTGGGGGAATAACCACGGCCAGGTTGAAAGCTCTAATGATATTCCTAGGGCCTCGGGTCTCAACGCACCGGCAGTGTGCCTGGCCAGCCCTGCACAGGCCGTGGAAGAGGTCTGATCTACCTCAAGGCACTGGGGCCCAGGGAGGCAGAGCATGTGTTCTCTACCCCAGACACGTGCCTCTTCGGAGCCTCTGACAGAAGCTTCTCTGCAGGCTCTGGAGAAAGAAGACTAGAAAATGTGCTTTCCCATCGTTTAATTTAAAAAAAAAAAAAAAAAAACCAGTAAGCCCTGAGCTCTCCTTCCCCTTCTCCTTCCCCTTCGTTTTGCCCTTCCATTGGGAGGAGCACCACACAGAGAGATGGTCAGGGGCCAGGCATCCTGAGAGAGGCCTCTAGTCCCAGCTCTGTCCAGACTCCCAGGTCATTCCCTTCTCTAGGCCTCCGTTCGCTCATCTGTAAAACTGCAGCCTCACGCTAGGTGACTTGTGGTAACTTGGGAGGCAGGACTTAAACTCTTCAGTAAGACTGGAGAGTCTAAGCAGGACAGGAGTGGGCCCTAGAGGGGACATCCAGTGCTAAGGAGAGGAACATCTGAGTGATCTCCCTGAATGTGGAGAAGGCAGCTGGCACCCACTTTCCTTGCCGAGGAGGAAATGACAGGTGGACTGGCAATGGTGTGCCGAGGAAAACAAGGTGGCCTCATTTGCAGAAGATTCAGGGGGAAAAGTCTCCAAGGCATTCAAGGGCCCTGGGCAGGAGAGGCCGCTAGGGGACCCTCCATAAGTTGTCCCGGAATGGCTACCCTGCTGTAGGGGTGGGGTCTCAGATGTGGGCTTCCAGGGCTCCCTGGGCAATTTACTATAGAAGTAGAGCCAGTGGGTCGATAAGGGCTCAGGGGGTAAATTCTAGACTTCTGGTTAATATCGGGAGGTGGTGCTGGCATAATTAATGGGGAGTTAAAGGGAGCTCACCCAATACATACAGCAAGATAAGGACATGGGGCACAGAGCTCCGGAGTTCACCCAGAGACCTTAATTGTGCTAAAGAAGGTTGCAGGCAGCTGCTGGGGCTCGAGGTGCCCTCTAGAGAGCTGACAGCTTGGGGCCAAGACAATGACCTCCTACCTCAGTTGCAGGTGCAGGAGTGTGATGGTGTCAGTGGCCACACACAGGGCTCTGGAGTGGGGGAGATAGAGGCAGGCTGCAAACTCCCCCTTAATACCACTGGCTTTGGAGGAGGCAGTAAACAAGCAGCTGTCCGTGTCCAGATCCCAGATCTGAGGAGGAAATGGAGAAAAAGTAACCAGGGGTCGTGAACAGGCTGCTTTGCTGTGTTTCCAAAGCCGCCTGTTGCAGGGGTCTGGTTAGGACCAACCAAAGTTTGAACACTGCCCCACTCCCATGGCACCAAAAGGAAAAAACGTGAAAGGGGCTTCTTCTCTTCTGTTGTTTATAAAGGAAGCAGAACATGGGACCCTTGTCCCTGAGCCCCTGTGCCATGCCAAAGCTGCCCAAGGGGCAGAGATACTAGAGGCCAGGACACCCTGGAGCTGCACTCCACTCCCCACCATCAAAGCAGCTGGTGGCTTCTCTTCCCATGGACTGGCTTTCACAGTGGGAGCTCGACATCATGGGTCAGACTTGTGCACAGAGCTACCTCTGTCTCTCATGTATGTTCCCATTTCTTCACACAGTTCCTCTAAACCAGCCACTGGGGAGACATTTGGAGGGCTCAGGGAACAAACCTCAGCATGGCCATTGGTTAAAGGCATGGACGTCTAGAATACTCCTGCCTGGGCCGGGATCCCAGCTCTATCCCCTAATGGCTATGTGGACTTGGACAAATTACCACTCTCCCTTTCCCTCACTTTCTTCATCTGTAAAATAGGGAGACTAATAATAATGCTTATCTTATAGGATTTAAAATCTTAGGGATTTTTAGGGGCACCTGGGTGGCTCAGTCAGTTAAATGTCCGACTTCAGCTCAGGTCATGATCTCACTGTTTTGTGAGTTTGAGCCCCACGTTGGGCTCTGTGATGACAGCTCAGAGCTTGGAGCCTGCTTTGGATTCTGTGCCTCCTTCTTTCTCTGCCCCTCCCCTACTCATGCTCTGTCTCAAAAATAAATTAATATTTTAAAAAATCTTAGGGATTTTTAAATATTAATAAAAATAGTGTTTGGGATCATGGCTAGGCCATAGTGTATAATGGTATAGGATTAGAATGATAATATTATTGTTAATCATTTATTATGATTATTACATAAGGCCTGCCATGGCTATTATATTATTTTAAGGTGATCTGATGAGAGCTGCAAGGGATGGCTCAATCCCTGGGGAAGAGCAGATGGACCACATGTAAAACTGGGAAGACAGAACCATCACGAAGGCAGCTATTGCTTAGTGCGCCAACATGCACCAGGCATTGTGTTAAATGCTTTTCATGCATTGTTTCATCTACTCTTTGTTATGGGTTGAATTGTGTCCCCCCAGATTTTTTGTGTGTTGAATAACCCTCAGTATTTCAGAATGTGCCCTTATTTGGAAATAGGGTTGTTGTTAGTGTGATTAGTTAAGAAGAGGTCACGCCTTAGACAATATGACGGGTATCCTTGTAAGAAGGGGAAATTTGGAGATAGACGCAGAGAAAGGGAGACTGTCACATAAGATGAAAGTAGGCATCAGGGTGATGCTTCTCTAAGGCAAAAATGCAAAAGGTTGCCGGCGAGACACCAGAAGCAAGGAGGGAGGCTTGGAACAGACTCTCCTTCAGCCTCAGAAGGAACCAATCCAGCTGATACCTTGATTTTAGACTTCCAGCCTCTAGAAATGCGAGGCGTAACTTCCCATTCTTTAAGCCAACCAGGTTGAGATATTTTGTCACAAACTAATACGATCTTAAGCCAACTTTGGTAGGTAGGTATAATCCACTGAGTTCCAGCGAGGTTCAGTGACTACCAACACAGATCTCATGAGCCGCTAAAGTAGGAGTCCATCTCAGGCTCACCTTCCTCCAGAGCTGCGCTGGGACATCTAAGGACTAAGCTGGGTGGGATGTACTTGGATGGGGCTTCTTTCCCCTCCTTTGAGACTCCAGGAAGCATATCAGCTATCAGGAAATTTAAAGCCTTTACCCCTTAAGCCAGACTTTTATTTGTTGTATTTATACTGTTTATTTTCCTTAGTTCTCCTCAACAGGTAGCAAACTCATTTTGGAAGTTCTACCCTGCTTTTTTACCTGTAATTTTAAGTCATGGCATAAAAGGCAGGAAGCGATACACTCTGGGAGGTCAGTCTGGGGGTGACAGTAGTGATCAAAGTAAAATAATCCCATGGAAAAGGTGATTGCAGGGGCTACTTGTAAAGGGGTGTCCCCCCTTCCTTTCTGGAGGACTAAATTGTTTGAAAATGCTCATTTTCCTGGATAGAAAGGTAACACACGGTCACTTAAACCACAACAGGAATCCATTTATCTAGCAATTTCTTCTTATTTTACAAGATAATGATACTGAGAGAGAGAAGGTTTTGATGAGGGCAAGGATAAGGTAATTTTGGAACCTGGCAGAAGGATCTTAGTTGGAATGCTATAGAGGGACCCCTACGAGGTCTGTGAAAGGGAAACGTAGGAAGGAATTCTTCATGCTGCTGTTGACATTGATTCAGCAAGTTGGCATTAAATCCCCAAAGTAAAGTAGCTACAACAAATCAGTATCACTGACCTATCCGTGGTCTGTCCAGCACCCTCATGTCCTCTGTTAGGAAAATTGCCTCTCTGGTTACAAGCAGTAGACATGGGACCCAAGCCTGGTAAATCTGTGTCTTCCCTCAGATTTTTCTGACTAGAGCTGATAGTGAATCCAGAGTTGAGTTGCAAGTTTAGACTGGGCATCAGCCCAGCCATTTGGAAGAAGAAAGCCTTTCTGAAGTGGGAGTCAATATCAGTGGTGTCCCCAAGGAGCAGAAGTCGTAGTGCAGGCAGAAGGTGTAGGAGCAACAGTGCCATGTTTAAACCCAGCTGCATGTGGGGCTGTCTGTCTGGTGATTTGGTTTCAGTAACCAATAAATTGTCCCTTTTTCACTTAAACTATTTGAGTTAGATTTTTGTCTCTTTGGCCTAAAAACATCTTAACTGGTAAAACTACTCTGTGGTGAGCACAGTTCATAATTTACCTTTTAGGAGTACAATGAACCTACACAAGAGTGACCAATGTTGAAGAGAATTAATAGTAAGCAACATCCAAGCGTTTAGCAGGATTGAACACTTCACCCAAGGTCACTGAGTTTCTGGTAGTTTCAGAGTTTCAACTCAAGCCTGTATTTCTCCAAAGCATTCTGTACCCCAGCCCCCAAATGTACACTTCTCTGTCCACAGTGGAAAAATTTTGCTGGGGAATGGCCACAAAATTAGGCATTCCCTGGTTTCCCTTTCACCCAGAGTTATGCACTTAGCAGTAGACTCTGAAAGAAAGTGATGGGTCATTTATGGCTGTGGTTTTTAAGAGGCAGATATGCCTTATCTGCTCTCACACCCATTGCCCTGGGATGAAGAAGACACTGGGAATCTAGGAACCCCTGTGAAGACAGCCTCATTTTTGAATGGGAGAAAAATGCCCCTCACCAGGCACGCTGGCCTTGGGTTATGAAAGCAAAGAAACAAGCTTCCTACTGTCTCAACCTATGGAGAATATGGGGTTTATGTTTTGCAGTGGCAATCCTTACCTCAACTAACACGCCATGCTACCTTCCTTCCAAGAAATAACTTTCTTTCTATACTGGTTCCTGATAATACAAAACAGCCCCCTTCATGGTGCGTGATGTTAAATTCATGGAAAATAACAAGTGAAAACAGAAAACTGAACCTGTCACTTTCCTCTCCTTTAGAGTAATGCCAGAAACCAACAGACTCCTGAAATGTTCCATGTGTCCCCATGATTTAGGGAAGTGAAATATTTGGGCTGAAAAATCAATTGAAAGAATGAAGACCATCTGATCAGGCATGCTAGAAATTTAGCTGTTTGGTTCCTGGTTGATTACTTTTTATTTGATAGGAATAATGTATTCTGAAATAAATTACACACCATATTTCCAAGATAGGATTTCAATATATTTTAAACACATTTTGGGAAGTGATTCAATATGCCTGAATCATCACAGGCAAGATGCTAATCTTGTAATCATGATTTTAGATTGGAATAAAATGGAGAGGCACCAGGAAAAGAAAATAGGATAGAAGACGTGTCCTCACATACAGAATTATGATTATCTGATGGTGCCAAGTTTTGAGGGGAAAAAAGCTCATTAAATATATGAAATCTCCAACTTTGTGGCTTTGAAGGATGGCTTTGGATGGATTTGATATTCAAAATATATTAAAAAATGAAGCCCATAGATTTTACCATTTTAATCAAATTTTCTTGGAAGACTGAATTGGGCTTGGGTCTTGATTGCATCACCAACTGTGATGTCAACAACTAATTTTATGTAAAAGGTCCTCATTGGTGCCAGGTGATGGACTCTAAGCTCACAACACAGGAGCCATGTTGGACCCATGAAAAGTGAAAGCACAGCACATGGCACTGCCCCTGTGCTCAGCGTTCGAGGCTCTTCTCCTGCTCCTGTTCTCTTTTCCATCTCAACTCCTCCGTGGCTTAAAATTCCATCTAAATGTTAATGAATTCCAAATTTATATCTTCAGTTCTGAGATCTCCCCTCGACTCAGGATGACTCTCTAACACATCCACTATTGAGCTCCTCCTCTTATTCTCCTTTTACCTCCATCTGCCCTGTCTCAGTTGGGTTGCACCCAAAGCCTTGGTGTCTCCCTTGACCCCCTCTGTCTTTCCTCTCCCCCTCCTTTAAAAAACAACACTTTTATCGAGATATAATTTACCTCCCACAAAATTCACATTTTTAAAGTGTACACAATGGTTTTTAGCACACAGAGCTGTGCAACCATCACTATTGTTTAATTCCAAAATTTTTTCATTATTTCAAAAAGAACCCCGAGACTACTACCTATCCCACTTCACGCCACCTCCTTGCAACTACTAAAAAAGTTTCTGTCCCTGTGGATTTGCTAATTCTGGACATTTCATATAAATGGAATCATCCAGTACATGACCTTCTGTGACTGACTTTCACATAATGTAAGCTTTTCAAGTTTTATCCATGTTGTAACATATATTAGTACTTCATTTCTTTTTGTTTCTGAGGAATATTTCATTGATTAATATGCCACATTTTGTCTATCCATTCATTAGTTCATGGACATTTGGGTTATTTCTACTTTCTGGCTATTTTAAATAATGCTCTATTAACATTCATATGTAAGTGTGTGAACATAAGTTTCCAATTTTCCTGCGTATAAGTCTAGGAGTAGAATTGGTGGATCATAAGGTGATCTATGGCTAATACTTGAAGACCTGCCAAAATGTTTTCCAAAGTGGCTGCACCATTTAAAATTCCCACTAATAATGTATGGAAGGCTCCAATTTCTCCACGTCCTTCTCAACACTTGTTATTGTCTATCTTTTGATTTTAGCCATCCTAATGCGTGGGAAGTGGTAACTCACAGTGGTTTTGTTTTGCATTTCCCTAATGACTAATGATGTGAAGCATCTTGTCATGTGTTTATTGGCCATTTGAATTTTTTTTTTTTGAGGAAATTTCCATTCAAGTCCTTTGCCCATTTTTAAATGAGACCATTTCTGTTTTTATTATTGAACATACAGATTTTTCAGTATTTTAGATGCAAGTCACTTATTAGATGCGTGATTGGCAAAATTTTCTCCCATTCTGTAGGTGGTCTAATCACTTTCTTCATGGGATCTCCTGAAGCACAAGTTTTTAATTTTGGTGACATCCAACTCATTTTATTTTTGCCTTTTGTCTCTTGTGTTTTTGATATCATATCTAAGAAATCATTCCCTAGTCCAAGGTCATGAACTTACTCCTATGTTTTCTCCTAAAAGTTTTGAAATTGCAGCCCTTTTTACACTTAGGTCTATGGCCTATTTTGAGTTAACTTTTGTATATGGTGTGAAGTTAGGGATTAAACTCCTAGACTGACATGTAGACAGGTCTGCTTTCTTGTGAGGCCTTTCTCCTTGGCTTGCAGATGCCCTTCTTCTTGTGATGTCTTCACATGGTTCCTCTTCATCCAAATGTACTGATTTCCTCTTCCAATTATATTGGATTGGGGCCCACCAATATGGCCTCATTTAACCTCAATTGCTTCCTTATAGTCCCTTTCTCCAGATATAGTCACATTGTAAGATACTAGTGGTTAGTTCTTCAACATGTGGATTTTGAAGGGACATGATTGAGCCCAAAGAATCTGTAAATCATTTATTATGTGCATGGTCAGTGAACTGGTTTATGTATCTATACTGAGCAGTGATACCAAACGACCTGAGGCTCTGGCATTTCTTTGATTCAGACTGCTCTAAACTCCCATCCTCTGGCCCCATGAGGGTCAAAAAAGAAAGATGGATGAAATCATGAAAACTTTTCATATTCATTGGAAAAGCATACAAAATGGAAATAGCATAGGAAAAAGCAAATCAGTGAAATTTCTCTTCTTTTCTTTTCTTTTCTTTTCTTTTTGGTAGATTACGACTTCTACAAGGGCTGTAAGTGTTTAAATTCTAAGCCATACAGACAACATTTCAAAAAAGGGCCCCCTGCCCTATGTTTATCACAGAATAAGATGGCCACTAGGGGTGAGGGGCTGCTGCCTCCCCCACGTCCCCATTCCGTCCTCTGCTCAGCCTCTCCATCCTACAACATACATTCTCCCAGGAGAATCAGGACAGCATGCAAACAGGGGCTACAATGCCATAAGGTCTCCTCATCCCAACAAAACACCAGGGATAGAAAATTCTCTAAGAGTCTATCCTTCTATTGCCCACATATCTTCTCTTTCCAAAACAAACCCACTAATGTAACTACCATTAGAGTATCTGCTAATGCAGAGGCCTCTAAATCTGCAAAGAGGGGGAAAGAAAACACAAAAAGAACACATCCTCTATCTGAAACTGTTGGACAATACATCGAAACCTAAAAGGTTAAAGACCTTAATAGTGTTGTCGGCGGACATGGAAAATATTTTGTTATCCTCAGCAGTTGCATGGATGTAGATCACTGGAGATGTGTGGCTTTTCAGCATACCTGTTGGTTTTCTAGAATGAAAAAAAGAACAGATGAGCACCAAGCAGTTCTAAGTGCTGTTTCTATATAAAAATGCAAGACTAAACTTGGCCCGGATCTGGCAGTTCTATTCAGCCTGGAGGAGGGCTATGTCTCCGTCTGAAATCACAAAAGTATGTATCTTGTGTGATAAAAGGACCAAAGCAAGTAATACCCAGTTATAGCAACACAACTCAGTGCGAGATGAAGCCCTGGGCTTTGTTTCTCCAACTGCTGACAATGTCACTATAAAAGGAATGAACGAGGAAGAGCGCAGGGTGGGGCTGGAATAGATTCTGTGGCAGCTTGTTGCTTTATGCAGGCCAGAGTTAACAGTGTTCAGGTCTAGGGGGAATGTCTTTTTTAAATAAGTGTATTTTAAAGAGCTCTGCGGGATCACAATGCCCTCAGGGCCACAGGGCTGGGTGTTGTGAGAGGGTGGGGAGGTGGGGAGAAGGGAGGCAGGGCTGAAACTGAAGGGGAGGGCACAATATCACTTTATAACCAAGTCACTGGAAGGTAAGTGAACTGTTCCACATCAGCAGACAAATGGGAGTCTAGGGTAATAGAAGTGGCTAGAAAATAATTTTTCTTTCTTTCTGATTAAGCATCTGACATTGTGCTGAGCGCTATACATGGATGACCTCATTTGTAATCTTTATTACTACTGGAGGGGTAGTAAAGATTCACTATTATCGAGGAGGAAACGGGCAGAAGCCCTTGCGCAGGGTCATTCAGCTACAAAGTAACAGGGAGAGAATCGGATCCCTCATGCCCATCTGCTCATAGAGCCACCTTGGCCACTGCCTATTGCTGGGGGACATGGGTCACCTTTCATATCCTCCATTGATGCCTGATACACAGGCTCAGAGAGGAAACTTGGTGTGCCCCAAGTGACTTGTTCTTGTCCCCACATCCCCACTTTCAATGCACAAGAAGACTACTCCCCATTTCCCACTCTCCTTCCACCATCAACACTTACCAATGGAAATGACATAAGGTTTTAGAGTCATCCAAAATGCATTTGAACCCCAAGTCTGGCATTATTTCCAAAAAGTCAAACTCCTCTGAGCTTCAGTTTCTTCATTGGTAAATGGGGCTAGAGAGTTGCTGGGGCGCTTGGGTGGCTCAGTCAGTGAAGCTTCCAACTGTTGGTCTTGGCTCAGGGCATGATGTCACAGTTCATAAGTTCGAGCCCTGTATCAGGCTCTCTGCTGTCAGTACTGAGCCTGTTTCAGATAGCTCTGTCCCCCTCACCCCCTGTTCCTCCCCCGCTTGCACTCTCTCTCTGCCTGTCTCAAAATATATAAACTTTAAAAAATGGGGTCAATGAGTTGCTTATTAATCCCACAGACTTTTCCAGGCTGTGTGTTTGCAATATCAGTTTTGGAGAGGGGTTCTTAAATTATCCTAAAGGGGAATTGGTGATCCCCTGTCCTGCTCTCAGGTACTTTACTAGATCAATGGCACTCTTGGTTGGAGAGAGAAAGAAAACTCACCCAGGCAGATAAGGATTCCAGACTCGAATGATTCGATCCATTCCACCTGTAATCAGCAAGTTCTTTCTCTTACAGAATGAAAATGCCTTGACTCCTTTGTAGATGCGAAAAATGGTTTGATCACATTCTGCTCGCCTTTGGGGCAAACCAGGGAACGCTCGGTGTCTTCTTGCCTAGACATCTTTTCTAACATCCCTTATCTCTTTCATCTTTTGCTTGACAGTTGTTGTTCTCATAGTACAGCCTAAAAATATTCACAGAAAAACAAAACACAGCCTCTTAATACGATCAATTTTCTGACAAGTTGCTGATTTTTAAAGTCCTGCTTTTGCTTTCAGTGAGGACTACTTTTGTCTTCCTCTTTCACCCCCTGGTGTTACTCCATGGATCCTCTGAAGAATGAAAATGATTTCTGTAAGAACATCAAGACTCATTTCCCCTCCTTCTCTAGAGAAAGGCAAAAAGGGTCACCTGGAGGAAGAAGGAAGCATGAAAACGGCCAGCTCATTCCGAGGATCCTAGCTTTTAATAAATCTCTCCTGAGCACCAGGCACAAAATCCATGATTTTGTTTGAACCTCACAGAAACTCAGTGAGGCAAGCACCTTTACCTCCATGGTACAGAGAAGAAAACTTACACCTTTGGGGGGTTAAGAAACTTGTCGTTAAGAAAGCGATGAAACTAACATCTCATCCTAAATCAGAGTTCATTGAGTCAATCTCTCAGTTTCATCCACCAACCAGCCAACTTTGTCCTACAATTATTTTGAATGTTTTCAGTCACATGACTTTTTGGCTTATGAATCTACTTCCTGAACAGTAAAATCAAAATAGTAGCATCCTACAGAAGCAATCAGAGGCCTTCCTGTGGTGTCAGGCATCAGTTTCACTGGAAGATCATAAAGGACCTCCCTATCTAGCTTACCCTGACCTCCGGCCTCAGCTATGTCTGAGGTAGCTGAGGGGCCTTGGATGACTAAGGTGGAAGAATGTCTCATCTTCAGCCTCCCCCTTACCTCATACCCAAGTAAGAATTCTCTTTCTTGGTTTGTGACTTCAGCAATTACTTGAGGGATAATTGGTTTTGTCTGGATGTCGTGTGTGTTATTACAAGTTACCAGTTCAACTGTTTCCCAGGAATGAGGAGGAGAATTTGCTACTCCAGTAAATTTGACCAAAGCTGCTGCATGCTTCACCTCAGAGGGTGGTGCTACTTCAACCCAGCAGTTGCTCCCAAAGCAGGATTCTGACGCAGATCAGCTGAGTTTCAGGAGAAGTGGGAAATCTCTAGCCTCATTGGAAACTTCCAGAATTTTAAATGTTGGTGCCCAGTTTCAAAACATGTTTTAAATCTGTCTGTGGCTGCTTAGCCCACTGCTGTCTCTGGAGATCTCTGGTTTAGGAACATGTTGCTCTGAGGAAGATAGGAAGGTATCTGGGAAGGGGAAGGGGGCCATCAGCTTTCCAGTTCTTCTGAGCCTTTTTTCCTCAGAGTCACCTGGCTGCTCTTCAGTCCATGAAATTCCATTTCCAAATAACTGGGGTATGTGATTTCCACCTTATTTGGGGCTCAGTCTGAGGGCTGGGACCATGTATTGATGGTGAGTTGAGGTGACAACCTTGCTGTCCACGATTTCTCCCAACACTGGCAAAGGACTGGCTTGGGTAGGGTAGCTAAGCACTCTGGTCCTGTCCTTCTCTTCCTCCTTTGGTATGCAGCAGCGAGGTAAACAGCCTTGAACTCAGGGCTCTTTCATCTGCTAGACAGAGGAGAGGGGAGGGTGAGCGCTGAGTGCAGATAATTACTTAAGATGGGAGAGAGAGCCTACGAATCTGGATGAGCACTTGAAGTATCAAAGCAATGCAGCAAACCCTCCTCAAATACCAGTTTGACACTTTCACCCTTCTTGTTATGAGCAAAGATCTGAAACTTCGAAGCAGGTGTGTCACTTTATTTATTTATTTATTTATTTTAAGTCGAGGGAAAGCAGCCAGTTCATTTGCATGATCTCTAGCAGTTCTATTCCAACAGAGCCAGACAAAGATACATGTTTAAATGGTTGTCATGGAAACCAGAGAACATAGCTCTCCCCCAAGGTCTGAAGGAAGGATGATGAAAAGTTTAAAGCAATCACCATGGAAACCTACAGCAGATTCAAGGCAGGTTCAGATCTGCAGTAAACTAACTAGCAAATAAATCTTCAGGTACTGGAATCCTACAGGAAGCCGGATTCTATAGCTTCTAGCACCAGAGCTGACCCAGAAGCCAGGTCTATAGTTACGGGCTCCCAGCATCCCATGGGGTAAGCAGCAAGGTGGGTGTGTTCCCTCAAAGCTCAGACTTTGACTCTTCCTCTTTCGAGGTGGATCTTGGAACCTTTCCTGCCCATCCTTCCTTTTATCTTATTCCTCTCTTCCATCAGTTTCCTCAGTGTGGTAGAAACCCACAGAGCTGTTGTGACAAGTGGAGCCCTGCCCAGGTCTGCAGGAGGGAAAACATTCAAGGTCCAGCCTTGGCTTCTCTATAGTCTGACCAAGATGTATCTCCCTTTCACGTTCATTAATAACCAGAATGAAGTCAGGGATTTCTTTCTTCCATCACCTTAAGTAAACAAATGCACTTGAAAGCACCTCCTATACTAGAGCCTTCTCTGTAACCCCCATTTAGGGGCGGGGACCTGGTGCTGTAGCACCTTGTGGAGAAGTGTGTGTGTGTGTGTGTGTGTGTGTGTGTGTGTGTGTGTCTGTGTATACACATGGATACATGATGTGAGTGTAGGACACTGTGGGGACATGTTGGGGAACAGTGGATGGGGAGATGGAAGTAGAAAAACATTTGAACCTGTCACCACAGAATTCTACTTTTCCTGGAGGGCAGTGCTTAGGAGTGCTATGCAGGAAGAAAAGGTATGTGGTTTGAATTCTGACCACAAGTAAGTTCATTCAGTAACTATTTTTTGAGCACCTATTATGTACCAGGCACTATTTCTAGCACTTGGAACATAACAGTGAACAACACAGACAGAAACCTCTACCTCTGTGGGGCTTACCTTCTGATGGGGAAAGGCAGACCATAAACAACAAGAAATAAATTATATAGTCTAAAGGAAGGTGATTGGATTTATGGATTTAAAAAAGGTAAGAACAAAGTAAGGAAGACTGGAAATGCCAGGAGCAGGAGCTGGGCTGTTCCAGGATATGTCTAATAAAGTGGGCAAGGAGGGCCTCACCAAGTGGTGACTCATCTGAGCAAAGACTTCAAGGAGCTGAGGGAATGAGTGATGTAGACATTTGCACAGAGAACTTTCCAGGCAGAGGGAGGATCTGGTGAAAAGATCTTAAATATATCCCAGGATATTTGTATGACTGGGATGGAGTGGGTGAGGGAGAGAAGTGGGAAACCAGGCCAGAGAGGTAAAGGCTGGGTTGACACATAGGCCTGGGGGACTTCAGCTTTGACTGTGAAGGAGATGGGGGGTCTGGTGGAGGATTTGGATGAAACTGACATCTAGTTTTCCAGGATCTCTCTGGCTGCTATGTGGAAAAGAGACCATAGGGGTGGGATGGAAGCAGGGAGAGTTGCAAGGCTCAAGGCTTTTTATGGTAAAATCCAGGGGAGAGAGGAGAGTGACTCACTGGATGGTAGGAGTGGGGTTGGGGCCAAAGTGGTCATATCCTGGGTGCAGTATGAAGATAAAGCCACTGGGCTGGATGTGGGTGGAAGAGAGGGTCAAGGGTGACTACTACATTTTGATTGGAGCAACTGGAAGGATGGACTCAGAATCAAGTGAGCCGGGGAAGATGGTGTGAGGGAGGAGATGTGGATCTGGGTTTGGATTTAATTTTTATGTCTATGAAACATCCTAAGGGAAAGGTCCTGTAGAGAAAGACCCATGGCAATTGGAAATGCCAGACTGAAGTTTGAGGGACAGAGCTGGGCTAGAGACATAAATTTGGGATCCGAAAGCAATGGTGCTGGAGGGAATCACTGAGGGCCTGATGGAGATGGAAGAGAGGAAGAGCAAGGACGGAATTCTGGGCTCCAGCAGCAGGTCATGGAGACACGCAAGAACATGTGAGGGAGGTAGGGAAGGGCAGAAGGGAGGCTGGGGGCCTGGAGCCCAGTGAGGGAAGGGTAGGAAGCGAATCGGAGCCATGTGTTTTTTTGGGTGCTGAGAGGCCAGTAGGATAAACATCTACCCTGCGTTTAGCAGCACTAGGGGCCCTGGTGGCCCTGACAAGAGTGAGTTTGGAGGTGTGGCAGGGACAAAGGCCAGCTTACTGTGGGTTTTAGACTGACTGGGACGTGAGGCATAGGAGAGAGCTCTTCCCAGGAGTCTCCGTGCAAAGGCTCCTTAAGTCCCAGTTTCTCCTCTTAGTACCATGCCAGAGAAAAAACACGATGGTAACCAGAGTGAGGAGGGCACCGACTCTTTCTGTCATAGACTTGTCTAGATCTCTGGAGACACTTGGAAATTCAAGGTGTAAGGAGCTTTAGGGGCCCCTGCTTTCTGGAACATGAGAAAGAAGAAGGGATGGACAGGAAACTCATGGCAAAATTAGGGATCTGAGAATGTGAGCTGGACGAATCCTTAGAACTCATATCCAGCATTTTTACTGAACTAGAAAGGAAACTGAGGCCTGAGGTCACAACTCTGTGACTTACAGAGCCAGGGTTAGAACTCAGAGATCCTCATTCTGGATTTATTGCTTCTATTCTGCACAAACACTCAATTTTGAGCTGCTTCAGTTTCTGAAGGCTGAATTTTAGTTTCTTAGTATTCATACCCATTCTAGTTCCAGAAAACCACAATTTCCCAGTTCTAAGAATGTCTAATGAAAATTCCCAAGAAACTTCTTAACCGTTGCACGTCTCTTTCTAATGCTTTGCTGATTTAAATGTCAGTGAATCAGAAATGTATAAAGGAAGATTTCCTTGAAAGACAACGTGAGCTTGAAGGCTGTGAATCAGAGGTAGAAGGGGCCTCGGGGAAGCAAGGTGGTGCTTCATAGAAGGCTGAGATCTCAGGCATGACTCATTACTGATTTTCCATGATGTTCCATGGCAACTGGATCAAGATTCTAAAGGAAAGGAGGAAATGGGATTTCAGCCTTTCCAAAGCTAAGCAATGCTCAGGCAGAGCTAGGCTAAAAGGCATCATGAAAGAAATGGCTGTCGTCATTATGTGGGTGGGTGGTTGACTTCAGAGTTGTTTCAAAAGGTGTTAAATATTTTATTCATTACAAATGCACTGCTCTATGAGTTCCAACCAGGACCTTAACATCGAGGGGTGGGGCTGCAGGGAGAGAAAGAGAAGGTAAGAGCCAGTTAGAAAGGCCCAGAGAAAAAGGCGAAGCTAATTCCCCAAGTGAAATACCTGGAAAAGTTCTTAGCCAGGAAGAGATCCCAAGTCATGACTATCCTCTTGATGATGAGCACACAACGCCTGCCTCCCAGCCTTCCCCTTCTCTCTGCAGGTGAGCCTGGCTGGGCAGCAGACACGAGCATCTGTGATGGGCTCTTCGTGGATTCCTTTCTCAGGTTGCTGCTGCTGCTGCTGCTGCACCCAGGTATGCAAGAAGCCCACCCAGACAGTGAAAGATAGTAGAAGGCGGCTACAACCTTCTTACTACCCTAGGGTGAATGATAACACTTCTTTTCTCTGCAGTCAGAGATTTATTCTGCTCCAGGGTCAGAATCTTCCCTTTGAAATCAGGCTGTCCTAAAAAAAAAGTCCCAGGACCAGAGGGATAGACTTTCCCAGTCCAACCCTAGGGGATGGCAAGTGGACTCCTGGCATTGGGGTCATAAAAACTGGGCTTGAGTCCCAATTCCGCTTCATTTAGCTAAGTGACACAATGGGCAAATTTTAGCCCACTGGTAAAATGGAGTGCACACAATTCATACCTCATCTAGCTACCATGAATATCAAATAATAAATATAATGCATGTGAATTTAAACTTGGCTGCATATAAAGCCACTGTAAAGTGTCCAAAAAATCCAGATGCCTGGGTCATACCTCCTTGAACAGTGGTTTTAAATCTTGGCCACATTAGAATCACTGGGGGAGCTTTGAAAGGTCCCGATGCCCAAGCTTTATCTCAGACCAATGAGGTCAGAATATCTAAGGATAAGACCCAGGAAACCAGCTTCTATAAAGTCCCCAGATGATTCCAAAAGGCAACCAAGACTGAGAACCACTAATGAGTATGAAAGTTCTTTATCAATTAGTAAGTGCCAAATACATGTAAGGAATCATCATCAGTATCAACTTGAACATTAAGTATGGTGATAGTGATGTTGAATTGGATGGGGCTTTCCAACATACTCCCAAGGGCTTCACAAAATAAGTATGAAGTTTAATAAAGTAAATGTGAGGAATTGAGACTTGCCTTAAAAGGGCAAGTTAGTAGAACAAATAATAATAAAATTAGAATAATATAAAAAAGATAGAAAAATTTATGTTATTGTGTTTAAAGGATGCTTCTCAGACCTGACAGGTTACACAAGTCACACTCAGTTCTTTTCCAAGTGCAGATTTGGATTCCATTTTTCTGAGGGGACCTGGGACTCTTCAATATTAGCACACACCCAGGGGAGGCCATTGAGATGAGTCCAAAGATGACAAGCACAGATGACCTAGATTCGAGTCCTCGTTCTTCCATTTCTGAGTTGTGTGACTGAGTGCAGTCACCATTCTTCACTTTTTTGTAATTTGTAAACCTCCTCTCCCCATCCCTACTTCTGGAAAGATCCTCCTACATCATGTAGTTGAATGGGCCCGGTCAGCTTCTTATTGTCCTTGCCTTTTCCAGGTCAATTGGCTTGTAATTGTCCCCAGAACAATGAGAACCTTCCCAGGGGTGGTCCAATGAGAACCTTCTCAGGGATGGCTGTACTGGGGACCCAGAGTGGCAGCCAGTCTTTGTTGGTGGCAAAGCAGCATGAGAAGTGGGCTCATCACCATCTAGGGGAACTGATATGAAGAGGAGAGAGAGAAAAAGAGTCGGAGAAGCAGCTGAGTCCCTGCTGTCAGGACTTCCCAGCACTGGCTTCCGCTTCTGCCCTTCTCACATTACATGAGCCATCCACAAAATTCTCCTTTTGCTTCCTCATTTGAATTACATTTCTTTCAATACAGGAAAAAACAAAACAAAACACTGAACAAGACCCCAGGACAAGTTAATGAATGCTGTGCTTCACTTTACTCATCTATAAGGTGGGACTAGTAGTGGGGCTGAAACCATAAAGTTGTTACAGAGATTAAATAAAATAATACACGGAAGGAGGTTAGTATAGTATCTGATACATAGTGTTCAGGCCCAGAGATTGCATCTACTGCAGACAATGAGCTCAGAGCCAGGGCCTGACCCCTTATAAAGGAATTGGATTCCTGGTTCAAATCTAGACCAGTCCTCTCCCCAGTCCCAGGATGTACGTCCTCCATCTGGTCCAGACAAAATGATTCCTACATGAATTGCACAGACTTACTCTGCCACCGTCCCTACTTCACAGACCCAAGATCAGCCTGGCCAAGCCCATGACCATAGTAAGTGTGCATTTGGGAATGTAAGAGTAAGGGATGGATTGGGGTCTGGGTTCTCCTTTGGCCCTTCTCTGAATTCACTTGGTCAAAGTCAAGCTTCCAGAAAAATGCAAAGGTCTTCAGCTTCTGGTTCTCCCTGTTGCCATCTCTTAAAACTGTTGTTTTCAGCATGCCTTTTGTATTCATAGAAATTGCCAATCCCACTTCACACAAATGCCCCAAGACCACTGTCTGAAGTTGATATTACTGCATATTCAATATCATGTAGCAGATTAGGGGTGCTCATATGGTGTGGTCTGAAGTTGCTGAAAGTGGATTTTGCTCTTATTTCAAATCAGCAAATACTGATCAAGCTCTCAGTATGTGTGATGCTCTGGGAAGCCCATCCTCTGCCTCTCCAGCAGCTTAGAGTGAGGCTTATAAAGCTGAAGGTGAACCGAACACTGGATGATGTCACATTCTGAGCTACAGAGTGTGGGATGCCTGTTGCAATGCAGAAATTGTAAAGGTGGGAGACACCCAAGGATCTGGCACACAGAGAACATTACGAATGTAAGGGGAGTGTAAGCAGTACCTATTACTAGAGCAGTAGGGTCGTGGTTGGAGCTTGAAATGACAGCTTTGATAGAATTGTAGTAGTTCAGCTGGAAATGACAAAAAGAAAAAAGAGAGAGAAAATACTAATTAATATGAAGATCACATGCCAGGTCAAGGAAGAGTGTGTAACAATATCTAAAGTGTTCTTTTGACCCCCATTTCAAGAAGGGGAAAGGAATCAATTGTTCAGGAGATGGGCACAGTTTTTTAAGAAACACACTTTTGGAGTGGGCAGATGTGTGTAGGTGGCCTGGCGGAGTGCGGAGTACGTGGGGATTCTCTCTCCTTGACGCTCGAACAAGGCGAACACCAGAACAACAGTTCCTGGGTATCCTGTCTGACAGACCGTGCTGAAGTTTCTACTACCTATTTTAGATATTTCTGAGAAAATCAGAATGCTGCCTGCATAGCTGCAGGGGTTTCACAGAGAAAACAGCTTATCTTTCACCATAAATCATATTTAAATTGGAAGCTATGCTGAGTGTCATCGTTGGAAGGGTAAAAGACTCTCTTCCCTTGTCTCTGGAAATCAAGAGCTGGCCTCTGAAGCAGATGTGCCAGGATTAGGGAAGTGCGCATTTCAGGCAGGTGCCAGGGCTGGTCATAGGTGCAAGGAATGGGGGTCAGTAGGTTTTGAGGAGTTTCTCTGCTCTTAGGACATTTCCTTCCTGGAGGAAGTCCTTACTAAGAATATAAACATGTAAAATGGATAAACCCATAGTAGTGTTGAAAGAGAGACATTAGCTACAAGGGATGATTGGTTTCTCTTTTAGACCTTGCAGGCACCATACTAGGCCCAGAGGGGCATGCACAGGAGACAGCCCTTGGTTCTGACCCCCATGGAGAATAGAAACTGTACAGTCAAGGACACAGGAAGAGAGGGGAGTACGTCTGAGGGAAGAGAGGGTTTCTGGAACCTGGGACCTGACCCAGCACAACAAGATTCAGTGCCCCCAAGCAACCTAACAGAGCTTAGAACTGTCTCTGTCTTTTCTCTATTGAGACAGCTCACATAGCAGAAGTTTCAGTGGAGTGATCATGGACCCACTCCCTGAGGTGGTGTGGGGGACAAAGGAGAGCAGACCCCGGGGGAATTCTCCTATCATACAGGTTTTCTATGTTAGCTCCCTTTCTATGCTGCCAGTGCCAATGTCCAGCTTTGTTTTCTCCCTACTTCATCCCACCCCCTCCATGTGTGGTCATGGCACAAGCTCTGGATGTTGTTATTGCTTCCTCCTGTCTTCCAAGGCAACAGAGGCTGGTAATCCAGTGGGACAAAATGTCCACACTCTAAGCATGGCTCCACTTTGCAAAGTGGCAGAAGCCAGGCACAAGAGGCCGTAGTGTATGATTTTATTTACATGGAATGGCCAGAAAAGGCAAACTGACAGAGACAGAAAGTAGATTAGCAGTTGCCCGGCACTGGGGGTAGGAATGGGGATAACCGCACATGGCTAACAGAGATCTTATCGGAGTGATAGAAATGTTCTTGAACTGCATTATGGGGATAATTACACAATTCAGTAAATTTAATGATCATTAACTGTACATTTAAAATGAGTGAATTTATGATATGTAGATACCTCAAAAAAGTTGAAGAAAAAAAGGATCTTGTTCCAATCACCTTCGAGAACCATATCAGTATTATATGTGGCAAATTTACCTTGTTTAGTTGGATTGTTTTCTCTTTGTACTCTTACTTAATTCACTTTCTTTCTTCTCCAGAATTGGTACTTTATTTGTTTCTCTTTGTGTCTGAAATTTTGTTAGTCTTAATCTTTTAGATAAATGCTATTTTCTTGGTCCAATTTTCCTTCCCCTTGAATTTTCCTTTTTTATTTAGCAAATAAGTTTAGTTATTTTCGTATTATTTCATTTCACCCAATTATATTTCCTGACTTTCTTTTTTGCATAACTCTTCTTTATTAAAAATTTTCCCCACCTCTTTTAAGCCTGATGTGTTTAGGAGAACACAAGAAATGTTTGCACCATTCTATGATCCCCTAAAAGTTCACTGAAAAACCCCACTCTGTCTCTGCTTGGCAGGACAGCGCGTCCAATTGGTATTTGGTTTCTGATCTGCCTTAACATAAAGAACAAAGTCTTGCTTGTTTATACACTTAAGAAATACTGATTTAGCTTCTCAGAGCCAGTAGAAATCTCAGGGAAAAGACTCATGTTCAAAGTCATATTATTGGTCCTAAGACCCTTGGGTCCTTTGAGTTGGCTCTCATTCCTACAAGAGGAATGAAAACACACCATCTTCAGACCCAAAGGACCGCCAGATGGGAACCCCCAAAACAACCATACCAGGAATTCAAATTAATCAATTTCTCTAGCTTCTAGAAACCAGATGTTTATCATTCTTTGTACCATTCTTGGTATTTCATGCAGCATTTTTATTTGTTTTCAGCTAGGTTAATAAAGTTATCTTGGGAACAATGGTCACTCATTAAAGAATATATATTCAGTTGATTGGCTGATACATCTGGGGAGAGAGGTCAGCCTGGCAAATTCTTATTTACTTTTACTCACACATTTCTTTCTTTTCTTTTCCCTTCCTTTGCCCTCCCTCCCTCCCTTCCTTCCTCCTGCTCTTCCTTCTTTCTTTCTCTCTCCCTCCTCTCCTTTTGCCCTCTCTCCCTTTTTCCTTCCTTTTCTCTCTCCCCTCCTCCCTTTCTTTTTCCCTTCCTCTCTCTCTTCTTCTTTCTCTTTCCTTCTTTCCTTTCTTTCCTTCCTTCCTTCTTTCTTTCTTTCTTTCTCTTTCTTTCTTTCTTTCTTTCTTTCTTTCTTTCTTTCTTTCTTTCTTTCTTTCTTTCTTTCTTTCTTTCTTTCTTTCTTTCTTTCCTCCCTCCCTTCCTCCTTTCCTCCTTTCTTCCCCCCTCCCTGCTTCCTTCCCTTCCCCCCTCCCTCCTTTCATTCATTTTTAGTTTTACCTGAGTAATCCAGTCTCCGTGTACTCTCCAGTAGATATAGTTCACATTTGGAGAGGCCATAGCATTTTTAATGCTAATGTTTGGCATGTTCTCAATTTTGGGCAGTTTATTCCAAGTTCTAAGGAAAAAAATATAAAAATCTCAAAGGGATAAGAACGAATGTCCCTCCCACATCCTGCTCATTTCAACCAGGAGCCTTTTCTCATATTATTCTTCTGGCCAGGAGTTCCATCCCATCCTCTGAGGCCTCACTAAATCCGCTCTGATTATGCTAGACCATCTGATCACTCCCTTTCCTGGACTCCAGGATATGCATGATGTGTACTGCCCTTATTTTCACACTCCGATGTGTATAACCAGAAGGCTTTACAGACCCACAAAGCCCAGTAGAGAACAAGGACTCAACTAGGACTGAACATCCTTGTATGTCCCAGCTGGTGTTTGAGAAGCCTTTTAGGAGAAGAGAGTGGGTTTTTGAACAAAGAAGTGGGCCTTGCTTGTAGGCATCATGCATGAAGTCAAATGGGAAGAACTTGGAGATGGCATCAGCGACCTCACAGGTTATAAACACTCTTTAATTATTGAGTAATTCACATGAATGCTCTGGGGGACAGACTGTCCTTCCACAGTGGACACAGGAACAAAGCACTAGGAACAAAACAAAGGGATGATTCCTAGTGGAGGACCCATGTCTGCCCAACAGCTATTCCCTCACTTCTTCCCTGCCAACAAAAGCAAGGCACTGATCTCTTGATTTCAGAGCTATCATGTGACTCAGTTCTGGCCAGTAAAGTAAAATCAGTGAAGGCCTCTGGGAAAATATTTTGTTTCTTCCGAAAATGTGAAAAGAGCATGAGGCAGTCTCTCTCTCTGTCTCATTTTTCTTTCTCATTTTTCCTCTTCCCCAGCTGGCATTCTGATTTCTAAACACAGTCAATATGTGAAATGATGTCTAGAGCTGTGGCAGCCACTGTGAGACCATAAGGCTATAGGCTGAAGGATAAAAAGCCAACATGCTAAAAGATGAAGTGACAGAATAGAAGCTGAAGGCTCTTCATGACACGTCTGATAAGCTAAACCAGCACAGCAACCACCTATATCCTGACGTTTTTGTTAATGAAGGAAACATAGATTATCACTAATAACCTATTAGTGATAGGCACTATTATCATTCCCTTTCTAAAGATGAGGAATGTGAGGCACAGGATTAGATAACCTGCCAAAATTTGCAAGTAGAAGAGCCAGATTCAAACCCAAGCAGCCAGGATTGCAGCTTAAAGCATTCTTAGTGGACAGATCAACTGTTTGTGATAGTCTACACTTGTTGCTCAGGCGTTTCAACACGTCACAGGATTATGGACTCTTTCTGAGCTGCAAGCAATCCTTTGAGATGACCTTGAAAACACCTGAGTTAGATATAACGTGGAACGATGGTCTGTGTGTTGCTGCAGCCAGTGAGAAAGCCATTTGTCTGTCCCACCAGCAACGATAGAAGTGTACTAGCTTCCTCAAAAGCAGTCTCGATATTGGATATTTTCCATAATAATTGTGTTTCATTTTTGTTGGTTATATCATAATAAAGTTCTCTTACTCTGCGCTTTTGCTTTTATTTTTGCTTTTTATTTTTAATTGATCCCTACTCTGTGCTTCTTAATTGCTGGCATGGTAGTATATTTTTTTTCACTTAAACTGTTCATTCACTTCTGACTACTTTCAAGTATTCATTTTTTAGGTTTCAATCCACTCAAAAGCTATCTCTTGAGATTCTTCTGTAAACAGTGGTCTTATCAGACTGATAAGAGACCTTCTCAACTGGCAATCACTCAGCACTCCCTCTCAGTTTGGTTGTAACTCTTGCTGTCTTGTCTCTCATCATAGAGGGATGAGGGGGAGTCTATGGGAGGACTCACTTTCTCTCCAGATGAGTTTCCTTTCAGGTAATGTCACCTCTTGGACTTGCCTTTCCATCCCCCATTGCCTGATGAAACTCTTTACTACTGAGTTTTCTCAGATTTTCCACCCAAGCCCCTTCCTCCCCTACCCACCTAAGCCAAAGAGAATAGGAAGTTATAGATTGAATAGATTTCAATTCCCAAACTTCAGAACTCAAGACCTAGAATTTGTCTTGTTTCTACTTTCAGATTATGGCACCTCAGAAACCAGTGCTACCTGACAACTTCCATTTTACCTGTGGAATTGTCCTTTTAAGATTTATTTTATGGACTAAATTGACTTGGCTTCCATAACAATACCCCAATGAATCTGATCTCACTGGTTAAATGGAACATTGTTCCTTAAAAAGCAATTTTCAAGAAACAGTTTAAAATGTCTGATATTGTTACTTTATAAAGCATCTATTCTCCAACAATAGAGCACATAACAAGTACATCTCCTCAGCCTGCACCTTCCTTTATGGCACTTTGGGAATCCTTCAACTTGCTCTTGCTGTCAATTAATCTCTTGCTTAAATTTCTCTTGAATAAAAATTTTCCTGACCTTCTTCCATTAACCTCTCCTTCATAATACTATTCACCATCTCTGTTACTTTCCTCTGGATACATTTAATTTCTTGGAAGGACTATTCATGACAGAAATGGGGCAGAAGAGAAAGACTGGCTAAGCTTACAGACTTGGTGAGATTAAGGAGATGGTGATTGTGCTCAGTACTTGAAGGTAATTCATTTGAAGCATGCATTCATATTTCAAGATATAAGACTCTGGGAGAAAACCTTTAAATCCTGCTAGGAAACATGGATTCAGTCTCTTGTGCTGAATTAACTGATGGGGACAAAGTCTCTACAATAAGGAATAAGGACTTGATTGCAAGTTATATTTCATTCTGGTGATAGTTTCTGTATTATCCATCAATATTTTTTTTTAATTCAGACAAGGTTCATAATCTTCTGTTCACTCTCCACCAGGCATAAAGTAGATAAATTTCCTGGGACACTTAGGACAAAAGCTGTCCTTCTTTGAAGGCATCTACAGGAGACAATTAAAGTCTTTCTTGTATTAGTTTTTCGTCTATTCTGAAATTGGTTTAATTAGATCTGAAGAACTGTTTGTTCTCCACTCTGATGGCTTGATGAATTTGGGTATGTTTATATCAGCCACCAATGGTTCACCTTGAACTTTATTTCAGTTGTCAAAAAAAAAAAAAAAAAAAAGTCTCACACTATCTAAGCACCACTGTGAATCTTCAAGGAAGCATAGATTCAAGGAGGCTGTCAGTGCAACTAGAACCTCAAGTCCCCCCCGCCTCGACCCAAGACTCCTTAAGAAGAAGTGTGGGACTCTCCACAGTGGCTCATGAGAACCCCTTCCCACATTTCAGAAGAGCAGGGCATCTGGACATCCCAGCTCAATGGCTGTGGAAGGCCAATATCACCTAGGACTCTGGTTCCCAGCAGATAACACTGAGAAATTATTTCACTGTGTGTGTGTTGGGGGAGAGTGCTTGTCCATTATAAGGCAAAGCTCCAACAGATTTATTCTTTTTCACCCACATGCAACTAAAGAATACTGTGACTCATCCTGCTGTAACTCTAGACAAACAAAAATTCCTAGAATTATTATTACCGATACTATTTATTTTCCATTTCTCTCCCAGAGGTGTCCTTGTATTGTATCTGTTGAGCAATGAGTGAATGCCTCTAGTCAAAGCAAAATGAATAGTACCAGGTGAATCCCACCCTGAGGGGAGGTTTTAGTGAAAGGCTCCAGGACTCTGTTCTCACTGTGCCCCATTCAACAGTCTCCTCTAGGACCTGGATGAAGACAGTATGTGTAGTACCATGAAATGTATTGACTACACACAGCTGAGGGAAAGAGCGAATCTACTGGATGTCAGTGTCAGCATTTAAAATCATTTTTAACCAAGCGGATTAAGGATGAAAAAAAAATCAATAAAATGAAGGTTAGCAAGAAGGAAAGCTCTGGGCTTAGGTTCAAAGCATCAATTTATAAGAAAAGGATGAGGAATAAATACATGGCTGAGTGTGGGAGGTAATACCCCGGCACATAAAGCCTAGGACCATATGGTGCCTTGTGGTGTCCAGTCCAGGTGCTCTAGACACAGTCTAGAAGAGAGGTTTCATGGCAAGATGTCTTGAAATGATGTCATATGAAGGACAGCTGAGAAAACTAGAAATGTTTATCTGAGAGAAAAGAATAGTCATCTGCAAAAAGTTGAAAAGCTGCATGTTTTTGAAATTCTGTTTTGTTTTTCTTTTCCTTTAAAAATATTTTTATTTTTATCTTGCTTAAAGAGTCAAATAGTTCTGCAAATTTGAGAAACTGGACTCCTGTCCCCATTTCCATCCCCAAGGGTCTCCACATTCCTTCCTTTTAGCTGATGATTTTGGTGTCTATTCCATGTCTTAAATAACATGCCTACCTTGCTTCTTTGGATTTCTCAGGCTGGACTATTACCTCTTGACTCTCTACTTTCATTTGCTTGGACTTCTGAGTACTTAGCATTCTTTTTTTTTTTTTTATGTTTACTTTTTGAGAGAGAGAGAGAGAGAGAGACAGAGTACAAGCAGAGGAGGGACAGCGGGAGAGGGAGACACATATTCTGAAACAGGCTCCAGGCTCTGAGCTGTCATCACAGAGCCCGACGTGGGGCTCAAACCCATGAACCATGAGATCATGACCTGAGCCAAAGTCGGACGCTCAACCGACTGAGCCACCCAGGCGCCCCAGTACTTAGCATTCTTTTTTTTTTTTTTCATTTTTTTTTTTTTTTTTAGGAGAGAGAGAGAATGAAGGCGTGAGCAGGGGAGGGTCAGAGGGAGACACATATTCTGAAACAGGCTCCAGGCTCTGAGCTGTCATCACAGAGCCCGACGTGGGGCTCAAACCCATGAACCATGAGATCATGACCTGAGCCAAAGTCGGACGCTCAACCGACTGAGCCACCCAGGCGCCCCAGTACTTAGCATTCTTTACCCAATATCTCAATCGCCTCTCAAGACATTCAGCATTCATTTCATTGGCTTTATCTTCCGCGTCACTCTGGCTGCCCAAAGTCTGGTCCACAGCTATCATCTTGGACCCTCTTTTTACTGTCATGGGGGGTGGGGGGAAGTTGGCATTTGATCCTCTTCTTCATTGTAT